AAAAAGGTGGGGAGGGAAGGAAGGGGAGGAGAAAAGAGATGGGGGGTGGAGAATATAAATGAATGAATGAATCAGAAGCCAATCCCTTTCTTCTCTTTCATGCATATTCACATAACAAAGTAAGAAATAAATACTGACCTGCAAAATCAATACAGCTTTAAGATTTTTCATCCTAACAACTCATAAAGAAAAGAAAAAAAATTAAAATCTTTCTTTGCATCTTGGGACAGTGATCCTTGTAATAGTCATTTGGTGTATTATTTAAAATGGCTTAAAATGGTAACACATACATGAATAACATTAAGCATTTGTTTTGCCATAAAAACGTCAATAAAGTAATATAAAACTGAATAAGGAGAAATTAACATTTGCATGATATACTCATTCAGTGGAACATTTTGGAATTATAGATGGCTTATGCACAAACTCTGAATGGATTAAAAATTGATCTATATTTAGAGAAATGTAAAGTAATTCAGCTTTACTGTTTTTCTATTTGTAAACAGACAATTTACCCAGGAATTTTATAAAGGAACATTATCCATTACACACACACACACACACACACACACACACATATATGTATATATATAGATAGATAGATACTGAGTTGCAAAAAATAAGCAAAACAAACAATAACTGTGAAATGCTCATTAAAAGAATGTGGAGTCCTACAAAAATCTATGCTAAATAGTGCATTGTTCTTAGCTTTAACTAAAATGTTTTTCATATAATTTTTAGCAGGCTTATGTAAAATACTGTCAACATTTATCTATCATGATTTGGTTTCTTAAAGCTGTTTGCTAAAATATGACTGTAAATTGCTCACTAGCATTAATTTCACTCTGCCAAGAATTTGGAAGATCTTTAACAATTGGGGGCCAGATGTGCTGTTCATAGACGCAGGTCTTAAAGACAACATTTAAAACAAAACAAAACAAAATGTGTTTCATTGTTTTGCTTACAAAAACTTTAGGTGAGAAAGTTACATTCACTAAGAGATACTAATGAAAAGAGATAGCATGAAATGGAAGAATTCCCTTAAAGTTAAAACAAAATCCTAGAAGCATCTTTTCAAAATTTTCCTGGCTATATTATTTGCTGTTTTTGAAATATGTATGAGTATTAAAAGAAAACTTTTCTAAAGTTTTCCAAGATATGCTTAGAAATAATGTCTTACTGATCCAATAACTTTCTTGAGTTTCGTTAAAACACAATATTTATTGTCAAAAATCCAAGCAGTGAGGACTATGGTATAGGACCACTCATTTTTGGATCACAATGAATATTGCCCAAACTTGTGGACCTGAAAGTGGATTGGAAAATACCAGTGTGTGGATTAATACAGTCCAAATATATACTTTACATCTTTTCTCTAAAACATTAAGGGGTACTTAAAAATATATTTCAAAGTCAAAACATCTTTTCTTGCAACCTTAAAGATGTATTTAGGAGAGGCCAATGCACTACTGCTCTAAGGATAGAAGAAGGAGATCAGAAATACTATAAATCAAAGGAAAAATAACTTCAAGAATTAAAATTAGAGAATAAATTATTATACCACTGGCAAAGGGTGACAGAGGACTTTTTTCTTATAGAAATACCCTTTAGATTAGAAATTACATACTAAACCTGAGGATGAAACAAATAGTCTCACAATAGTCAACTTGATAGACCTTAAAATCTGATATCCCTTCAAGAAGGAGACTAAAGTTTCAACAGGACATTTAAAATGCAGCTGTAGCCGAGAGTGGTGGCACATGTCTATAATCCTAGTGGCTCTGGAGGCTGAGACAGGAGGATCTTGAGTTCAAAGCCAGTCTCAGCAAAAGTGAGGAGCTAAGCAACTCAGTGAGACCCTAACTCTAAATAAAATACAAAATAGGGCTGGGGATGTGGGTCAGTGGTCAAGTGCCTCTGAGTTCAAAATCCCTAATACAAAAAAAAAAAAAAAAAAATTGGCACAAAAGAAAGGAAGGTGTTTGTTGTTTTCTTTTGATATTTGGAGATTTAAGCAACGTACTCCTATCTCATTTTTTTCCTCTGTATATTCCATGGACAAAAAGTAATGAAAAAGTAACCATGGTTAATTCATGAGTAAGAAAGTGGTATTTCTATACTGTTTGATAAATAAAAAAAACAAACAAAAACCAAAAAGCCCCATTTGACTAATTGTTTTGACTTATTGGATTAATTTCATGGAAACCTGATACTTATATTAATTTTTAAAGTGATTTTTTAGAGCCTGCCTTGATTTTGATATTATTAAAAATCCTAGTTTTATTTTTTAAAAAGTTGCTAATATAAAAATCATGTGACAAAATGAATACATTTAGACTAAATGGGATTTGGCTTAAATGTACATTCTTCTGGGGAGAAAAAAGCAGAAACAGCTGTGTGCCCACATTCCCCTTCTTGGTAGGTATCTGCATATTTTACTGTATCAGCAACTTATGAGAAACTGATTATTTTGAAAAATTCAAAAATAAAAATGATTGGTGCAACTCTTTTAGAATAAGGCTAATTCATGCCTGAGGCACTGGGTTCAATTCTCACCACCAAATATAAATAAATGAAAAGTTTAGTTTAGTTGTCAAATGGACCAAGAAAAAAAAAACATTAAAAAAAGCCTATAAAATAAAGAAGGCCAACTCACAAGATAGAGGTCTGGGTGTCCCTTGCAAGGAAGGAGACATTTATTAGAACTTGGTATTGGGAATGAGTGACAATATATGATACTCCTACTATCTCAATTCTTTTAAGACAATGAAGACAAGGACAGAGAATTGAAAATAAGAGAATGCATTTCAAGCTACTTTGAGAAGGTGATAGCATAACAGAAGGACTCCAAAAGAGAAAGGTAAGAATTTTTCTAGGAAAATAATTATAAAACTATCTTTTTTTCTAAGACTGAAGGAAGTTAAGTTGACTGAATGAAAAATAAACTCACTAGAAAAACGATATTCAATTTAAAATTTAATGCTTATATTAATATATAAATTCTGATATAATGCCAGAACTGAAAAAGATTTTGAAGAATGACTAGAGCAATGATTCTGAAATTTTGAGTGCTTACCAAAATACATATTCCTAAATTCCATCCCTGGAGATTTATTAATTCAATAAAAACTTGGGGTTATAGTGATGACTAAGACCACATCATTGTTCTCTTATGTGAAGATACAAGTGGTCCATATACTTTGAGAAGCACTGATTTTTTTCAACAATTTTGTTATTAAATTATCCTTATTTCAAGGCTAGTTTTTCATATTGTCTTTTACTTTGGCATTCAAATGGAGTGTGTGTAATAAAATAAAATAGGAGATTCCCCCCACCCACCCAAGGACAAATTAGAAGAGCTCAAGATGGCTCCTGTGCCCTCAAATTAATTGGGTATTCTAGTTGTAGTACCACTTTGGGTGAATTAGTTCATCTATCTAAGCCTTAATGACATCATTGGTAAAACAGGAATTAAAAGGAGTACTTAAACAATTTTTGGATTTTTATAAGAAATAAAGGAGCTTATATCTGTCACTGGTACACAGCAAGCACTCAAGTATATGTTCACTTTCACAGTGTACTGATTAACATGAATGTACAAGTTTCCTTATAACGCCTTAAAAATGGTTTATCTGAATAAAGTGGAATTGTGGAACTTCAGAGTCAGAAGATACTTTACACCTCATCTGTCTGTTGTCATGGTATTTAAATTAAGCTGCTGGAGAAGCTCCCTCATTGCTTTGAGATGTTTTGCCTAACAGAATTCCATGTAAAATTTTATTAGAAAGAAGTCCTGCTATGAAGAAAAGCCTGAAAACCACAGCAGTCCCAGCCTCTCATTCTAAAGAAGAGAACTGAACAGCATAGAAACTTATCTAAGGTCACGCAGCAGGAGTAATGGTAGAACTAATGTACTCATCATCTTCTTTGAAAAGAAGATTTTAAAATGGAAATTTGTGTAATTATAGGTCAAACATTTTTCAGATTGAGATTGTGTGAAAAAAAAATACAAAGCCCAAAAGAACATCTGTAATTTGACTTTCTGAGGATTCTGTGTATTCACTCAAAATCATATGAAATGTGGGCATTCTTTCCTTAGAGGTGAATATATTCCCCAATACCACACAGTGAATTTTCATTTGATTGTAGATGAAGTGAGTAGAACTTTAAAATGTAGTATTTAATTCTTAGTAATTATACATTCCAATTATGATAAAATTCAGACTAATTATTAATAAGAATTTATTTTTAAAAATTTCATAAAAATATGGGATTTATTTGAAGAGAAAAACATACTTTTCATCTTGCCAAAATAAAGCAGTACCATTTATACTTTCTATCTTGTTAGAGCAGAGGCTTTTTGAATCAGAATGTTCAGGAAACAGTGTTCAGGTTAACTAGAACTTTTTTTTTTTAATTTTAACCCCTTATACTGCAAATCATCTTAGGATGTACTAGTCTACTTTGTTCTGACCTAGGAACTGATCATGAACCTGACTTGATATGTCTTTGATAACTGAGACTTTTGCATTGTTTAGGATCTTTTTTTTTTTTTAAGAACATGAATTCTTATTCTACAGTACTGTGAAAATATAGGCTTAACCTATAATTAAAAAACAACAACAACAACAACAACAACAAAACACCAAAATCTAAATCCCTGATACAAGCTTATTGTGTTATTATTTGACCTATTTTCTGAAGGGGGAAGGAATACATTCTTATTGAGGTTCTGGTTATTCAATATTTAACAATTTTGAAATCAATGACTTCCATTTGGTTTCATGAAGGCCAAATATGGGGTCATAGGATTTCTTCATAGTTTCAGATTTAGTTCCTGGAAACATTTGAATAACGTTAGAGACTACTGAAATCTATATTTTTAATTACATTTTTTACAATATCAACAAAATTATTCTTTGGAAAAAAATTGTGTTTAATTACTAATTCAGTCTAAATCTATATAAAATAAAATATAAAGAGAAAAACATGAGAACCAGTAATATTTACACATTTTTAATATGCTTTGTGTTAATATTCAATGTTTTTTCATGAACTGATTATTTAAAAACCACGTTTTTATTTTCTTACTATGTGTAATTCTCAATTTTCTGTTGTGTGCTCTCCATTGATTTTAGTGTTCTGAATTTTCCCATGTTTTGGGGATTTAAAAGTTTGCATTTTTCAAATTTGATTTCAAAATCAGATTGAATATTTTTACTTAAAATGAGTATATTAATTAGTTTGTTCAAAAAAGCTTCAATACTACAGGACTTTGGGGAACCAACTGACTGCTTGTTTGAATAGTCAGAATTCTTTTAAGCTAAAACAGGTCATTCTAAACATTCTCTTGGTAGCAAGCATTGATTGAAGAGTACAAATATTAATTTAAAAATTTCCACTATAAACAATTACCAGTCACAATCTCATTTTAAAAGTAAGACCTAAAAAATTTAATTTCATTCTAAAATTTAAAGGAGCCAAAGACTCTTGGTCAAATTTGAGTGAATATAAAATGAAATTTAGCAGTTAATGGCAAATAGAACAATTAATTTCAGTTATTTAATAGTATAACCCAGAATAGGACTTAGTTTATGTTTAAAGTAAGTTTTATGACTTAAAGACAGAATAACATTTTCAGATCTTAATGGGGGAAGATTTTATGATTGGGACTATTGAAGGAGTTGTCTTTGACTCCCCACATCTTGGGGCCAGACTGAGAAACTGCAATTTTTATGGTACCTTGGGGCAATGAGATGACTTAGATGACTCTTTTCTTGATTCCCCAATAAGAGCAAAGATTGACAGGTTTATACAATGAATATTAATCATCCCAAAGGAAATTTATTATACAATGATGTGAATAGAATTTCATTTATAAAGCTTATTTGTTCTTTCCCAAATGATAAAAATGATAACAATTAAAATTCTCCTTCTGAATCTAAACAGGGAACTAAAAATTATTTTCTGAGATTCTTATTCTCAGTGTTTTGATTCCTGTGGGTAAAGAGGAAGACACGAGGTGTCATTCCCCCAGGCTGGATGAGAGAGACCATCTGTTCAGAGGAATTGTGCAAACATTGTTAACCAGTTCAACTATGGAAAGTCTTAAATATTAAAGTCACAATTTTGGTTTTAGTCTGACTGGTTATTCAGCAATCTCCACATTTGCTAAACTGCAGAGAGAGGGGGAAGTAGTTAAGATTTTGACATCTTCTTTACTCTTGATTATAATTTAATATACTTAAACTTTAAATATGAATTGCTTTCCCTTTTTACACAAGTTATAAAAATAAGAGGCCCTGTTTATAGTTTGCATTTTTTATGAAATTTGCAGTTTGAAAAAAAAGCTCTTTAAAAAGTGGTAATTAATGCTTTTCTTTGAATATGCTGTAACCTTAGAATTTTTTTCTGAAATAGTTTCTGAATTTAACCCACTAAACATTTGAAGATAGACTTTTTATTTAGCACTAGAGTAAAACATACTAAGGACTGAAGAAAAGAAAGTTTCTTTTTTTCTTCTCGTTCCATTTAAGTTTCTTTATATGTGGCACCCCCTTTATGACAGCTATCAATATTATATTTAAATTTTATATATTGACAAAATGCAATCTACCTCTGTAAGCATTGTGCCATTCAACAGTACTACAGTTAAATTTACATACCACAGTTTAAATTACATCCATTTCAGGAATGGTAAAATGCTAAAACTCAAGTGTCTAACTGCCTTACTGGAATGAGAATACAATTTACAAATACAATAATTACATTTGAAAACCATTAACAATATTACACCTAGAAGTAAATACTGTAGGATTGGTCATCATGGTGTGGTGTAAGGAAAATCACTGCTGAAAGCCATCGACTTTCCAGCTGATAGATCCCAAGTGCAGACATTGTTTTGCTTTCATCAAACCAGAATTAAAACCTGTTTCTCATACAACAGTTCTCCATTATATGAATCCTTGCATAAGATTTTATTAGTTATCTGCCAAGTATTTTCCTGCAAAACAAAACAAAACAACATATCAATATATTATCTGCTATTTTGATACTGTGATTATTATATAGGTAAGATTTCTATTCCTTTTGCCCTATCCCTTGGAGCCAAATATTGCATACTTTACGTTGCAATAATAATACAAACTACATAAAGGTTTTTGTTTGTTTGGTACCAGGGATTGAACTCAAGGACACTTAACCACTGAGCCACATCCCCAGCCCTTTTTTGGATTTTATTTAGAGACAGGGTCTCACTGAGTTGCTTAGGACCTCACTAAGTTGCTGAGGCTGGCTTTGAACTCATAATCCTCCTGCCTCAGCCTCCTAAGCCATTGGGATTACAGGCATGCACCACTGTGCCTGGCCCACTATGTAAAGGTTTTTAAACTTTCAATTTTCTACATCAGCTAGTTGACTTTTAACACTTCCATTTTTTGCAGAGGTTTGAGTTTTGCTCAGAATAGGTGGTGGTGTGTGGGGTTTCCCCCTGCATGTCAGAATCCAACTTATTTTAGGAAGGGTGCTCATATAGTTCATTTTCCAACTTGGTTTATTTTTGAGAGTGAAAGAGATAATTAACAATCATGCCAACATAGCAGTTTAGCAGGCATGAAAGACAGGACTTGGGGCTGAGATAAAGCTGAGTGGTAGAGTACTTACTTGTCTAGCATGCGTGAAGCCTTGGGTTCAATTGTCAGCACCACAAAAACAAAACAAAAACAAAAACAAAAAAACCCAAAACCATACCAAACCAGGATTCATCCTGGAAAATTATACTTGACAAATATAATCAGCTTGTATTGGGAGCCCTCCCCCTGCCCTACTTACAAAAACAAAATGAAAAAACCTAGCCTTTGTGCAAAACAAAACCTGTCTCGTAGTCATGTTCATTTCATGGGTAAATGGTTTCGATCTGTGATTTGTATTCTTTAAAGTTGTTATTAAAGTGAAAATAGATTCTCCTACTTCTCAGCTAAGCTTGCCACATCTAAACTCTATGAAGTCCTGTTGGAACTAAAAGTTTACAAGAAGTCCAATACTCCCATGCCTTAGGTATGTCAAAAATTTTGTGTTCTTTTTCCTTTTTTAAAAACGTTTTCAGAAGGTGATAAATTCAAAGACAAACAGCATTTATCTTATTTGCCAATATAACAAAAGTAGGCTTTATTCCATTGACCTCAATACACACATGTGCATAGTGGGTGACTCATCAGCCAACATAAGAAACAGAGCTAGCATAAGTAGCTTTCCTGATTTCTGACTTCCAGGTCATTGTTCCATTTGTATTTCATTCAACTATTGGTTTGGTTTGATTTCTAATGGGGAGTGAGAAGAAGAAGGAAAATGGTGAGAAAACTATGACCTATTCCTCCTTAATGAAGAGTAGCAAAAGCAACCTTATTTTTGCAAATAGAATTTGAGATACCAACTTACCTGCTGCAAACCTTTTCTTGATGAGTGAAAATCGGTACCCTGCTCCAACAAGTTCAATGTCACAGCCAGAAAGAGTGCTCCCTTCACTTGTGAATTGTACAACCAGTGGGGAAGGTTTGCTTGGGCCTTCAGACAGCTGAAATCTTGCTAATAAGGAACCCACCCCTTAAAAAAAAAAAGAAATATTACAAGAAAATAGGCAACACAACATTCTGGATATAATTTTGGAAATTAGAAAGTTAAAATACAACATTGGACTTACTTGGAAATAGTACAAGTTTTAGTGACAAAATTGTGATGAATGAAATGTGTCATTGAATAATATGAATACTTCTATTTGCACATTAGTGGAAGTATACTCAGCAAAATGGTGCTTCAAAATTTGGGGGCATGCTGCATGGAAGGCCATGTATTTTCATAACTCTGAATAATATCAGAGGAGAGTGAAAAATATTTATGAGTATGGATCTGCTAGAGGACAGGGACATGCCTCCATACAGGCTCTTTCCTGAAAGGATGGTCTGTGAGTTGAGGTCTTGGTAGGAAGGGGAAGAGGAAAAGTACTGGAAGGATTGTTTGTTTTTATTGATTGAAATAACTAAATGCAAAAATGGTGTTAAATATTCTGCTTGTTTTTTTAGTGCCACATGTATTTTGGTTCAATAATTGGCATTTTTTTAAACATTTATTCTTTAGTTGGAGGTGGACACAATACCTTTATTTAATTTTTATGTGGCGCTGGAGATTGAACTCAGTGCCTCATGCATGCTAGGTGAGCGCTTTTCCTCTGAGCCACAACTCCAGCTCCATAATTGGCATTTATCTACAAGTTATTTCAGCTTTATAAACTAAATAAAATAGTTTATATTTTATTTTTATAGTTTATATTTATTACCTCCATTTTCTGACTTCTGAGAGATATCAGGAATCTTCCACAGTATTCTTTGTTGTTCAGCATTCCTAAAAATAAAATACAAAAAAGGTCTTTCTATATGCAAATTTCTGTTTAAGGAACGCCATGTTTTTTTTTTTTTTCAAGATAGTATTTTTTAAAAGAATGTTGAAAAGTTTGGCTATAATTTTAAAAATTATCTCTATATACCTATATTTACACATACATTTCTCTTTTTCTGATTCTAACTTGCTACAACACGGTGAGGTAGACATTTAGAGGATAATAAAAAGTTTAGAAAAAAGTTTTGAACACATCTGTTGAAAGCATAAAAAGTATTAGCTAATTAATTCAGAACATTTAAATTGCAACTGTCATCTGGCTGGCATCATTTAAAAAATATATACTTTTTGCTTTTGATGGTAATAGGGAAAAACTGGAATGTTCTTTCTAGTACAAGTCCTTTATCATGGATGCTTCTGGCACTCGGTATCTATTCAGTTTCTACCTTCACCACCATGCCTTTTTATGTAGTTCAGAGGCTGTAAGAGGTGCACTGTGTTTCCCAGATACTCTTGCAATAAGATGTTCTGAGATGCAAATTTGGTCCCACCAGTTAAAGGCTCAGTTTGAGACCTGGAAGGAGAGGGAGGCAGAGGCCCTTTTCTTGCTGCCTTCACTATTTCCCTCTGGCCAGCCACCCAACTGAGACATGGAGTTCTTCTAACACAGGGGTGCAGTCTGGTCTTTAGTGTCACAGGTGTTGAGAGGCAGGAACTTCCTGATCCTTGCATCAGAGTTACAGGAGTGGGCTCTTGAGTTTAGTGATTCCACTGGTAGTCTCCTGATTTTTTTCCTTCCCACAGCTATGGCAGACACAGCCAGTCCCCTGGTGGGCCAGTTCTTACAATGTTTGGGAAACATTCTTGGAGCTACAGCCTGTTCCTTTAGCACTTTCACCATCGTGGAAGCATTGAAATCCCTGTACTAAATCATTATTGCTTAAAATAATATTTCCTGCCCTGAACCCTCCAACATTGGCCTACTATGATCTGCTACAGGAAACACAAATGTCAAGGAGTCTGCAACCGGGGGATGAGCAGTTTCTTACCAGACTGCGGGTGGAAGCACGGCCTGGAGCTTGGTCACGCCTCCGTCTATGGGGACCAGGAACTGCACATTGTTCAGGGCCACGGCTGTGGTCATCGCATCCGTGTTGTATTTGTAATCTATGCGCAGGTCAGTGCTCGCAGGCTCACATCGCCAGTTCACTGCCAGGTTCAGAGGCGTGGACTGAATGCCCTGGGCAGATACCTTTCCAAACAACAGGAAAGGGAGCATTTAAGGTTCAAACATTAATGTGAAACTAAACCAGAAGCTCTGGTTATCTTCCAAAAGAATGGTTTTAGGTATCAAAATATCATAATGTTGTTTGTGTGGCTCACAAAGGAACACTCAGTGAAAAGCACTATAAAGGGTACTATGTGAGACAGAGCTGGGTACTTCAGGCAAACTGTTCCAGATTAAAAACATAAAGTCAATTGCTCAAATCTCTAGGGCACTTTAGAATTTACAGTGCATTTCCTTCTGATTAGGGAGGTGGGATAGCACACTGGTTAGGGGCTGAGACCACAAAGGCCACAAAGCTAGACAGTCCTGGTGTGAATTCAGATTCTGCTACTTAGAAGCTTGGACATAATCTCACTGAGCCTCAGTTATTTCCTTGTATGCCTAATGGGAATTATGATAATAATATTTTCCCACAGGGCTGTCAGGAAGATTGAAGGAGATAAAATAGCACAGGTCCAGCACGGAGCAAGGAATTAATATTTTAATAAATGTTTCCTATTAATATTCTCACCATATTTGCTCTTCACAACAAATTGTGAGATAGACAAAAAGGGTTATTATTACACCTTTGTGATTTTCCAGAGGAAAGACTTGACCTCTGGTCCTCTAACTCGAAGAACTACTTTCTGATTTGAACCAACCATGAGTTAGTCAGACCAAAACAAAGTCAGATTTGAAGAATCAACAGCATTTTGTCTTCTCTAAAGACTAATATAATTTCGAATTCTGGGTCCACAGTGAAAAATTCAGTGTTATCAGTATTTGATTATGATTGTGAATAGATCTCTTGGAGATTCTCCTCTGCTAGGTTTGTATACACTGCAGGGACTGCATGGGGGATGTCTTTGAGCTTGGATTTTTATTCAGGGAATATGGGTTTTGCTGCTTTTGAAGAACATACACAACTCACTGGAAATGGCAGCACATATGAATGCCCTGGGAAAGGGTCCTCAGGGTGGGTTGGCTCACAAGCAGGGGTGGTTGTTGTAGACAGTCCAGAAATGGGTTCTTTTTTTAAAAAACATATTAGTGCATTTTAATTATGGAATAACAGGTTCTACTGTGACATATTCGTATGTGCACATGACATACTTTGATCACATCCACTTTACCATTATTCTCCCGTACCCTCCTCCTCTCCTCCTCTCCTCCTCGGATCCTCCTTTATAAGATGACAGATATGACTTTTGATGAAAATTTTAACCAGACAGCCACTATAATAGTTTTTAAACTTAAAATACTGTTAGCTGTACAATCCTTTCTACAAATAAACTTTTTTTGGGAAATCTGTTATCTAAAGTAGATCAAAAGCCAGGCAGCACCTTCCTCCCCATGCTTTTTCTGCACTCTCTCCTTCTCTACCACCCTCAGTAGTAGTTCTCAACTCCATAAGTGTTCCTCTACCCAGGGAGGGGCTTTTTGCATAGGTGAAGATGCATTTTTGATTGTCCCAATTTCTGGGATATGCTATTGGTGGCTACAGACTAAACATGCTGTGATTTGAGGGCAGTCCCACAAAATGCTAGCAGTGTCCCCAACCCCATCTCCTTGCATTGTTGAAAAACAACAATACAACTGAATCACAGCAAAAAGTTCAGAGTACTTTGAAATATAGTAGGCTACGAGCTCCTTATAATAACCTATAAAATATCTAGATGGGTATATTTTTACCCTTATTTTCAGCTGCAGAAAGGGTTCTGGGAAATTAAGTACCCAAGGTCAGGGGCCATTAAGAAACTTTCTTAATTTCAGAATTTAATCTCTTGCCTACACTTTACATTTTACACAAAGCTCATATGGCAATAAGTGAATTATCTACTCTCTAGAGTCAATAACAAACAGAGAGAATACAAATATTGCACAGGATTTAGAAGTTTAAAAATCTTTTAATCTGAAATGAAAATGTAGATAGAGTGTTTGTAATTAGATTCACGAAGGGAAATAACTACAGTTTTCTTTTCACAGTTGGACAGGAGAACACACATTGTACCCTGAAATTTAACTGTTAAGGTGAAAATGAAATTTGGACGTTCCATTTCTTATTCCTTCTCATTTCTCTTACAAGCTCACGGCAGCCACTAGACATGTTTAAATATTTTGGAAAAAAGTTAAGTAAAATACATTTTCTATTATATTTTACTTATAAAAGTAATGAACTTATGCCATAGCATATGTTTGTTGGTACTATATAACCTATGATATTTAAAGCTTAAATGATACTGAAGTACGGCAGAAAAATAAATGGGTAAAAAGGAGACATAAAGGAAGGGCAGGAAATAAAATTTTAATTTAGAGTTTTGCATACTTTTCCAGGACTCTCACACTCAGTCTTTTACCAAGGCTTGTTACTGCCAAATTCCTGGGAGATCTGTAATTCTATCTTAGCACTGTTAATTAACACCCCCCCACAAATAGATTAAGTAATGATAGATATAGTATCTTGAGGAACCTAAACTTAGGGAACTTTCCAGTGCTATCTATTGATCAGATAATGAAGAGCCTGTCTGCCTAAGGATTCAGAGATTGACCAGACCACCAGAAACCTCCTAGAGATTTCAGGACTAATATCATCCCGATATACCTTTCCATACTGACTTCTCACCAAATTTCCTTTAGAAAGAGAGCCAGCCCGCCCCCACCCCCACCCCAGTGTGTTTCTGAATGGCCTGCATTCTCCCTTGAATGCATATCTACTTTCTGAAATAAACCTATCTATGTCGCTGACTGATGGTGCTAACATTCTTTTCCAGCATGAAAGTCAAGGACCTTGCTGAGTTGAATTACCCATCACACTGGGAACTCCTCAGACCCTTCTTCAGAGACAACTCTGCTCCTGTGACAATACTATCCTCAGGCAAAAACTTCACGTTTGTTTGCATTTATGTAATATGCACCACCATATGGATATTCCACTTTCAAACAACATTTCAAGTAAGTTTTTTTCCAAACTACAGAGTGCACTAGAACCACTTGGGTAACTTATTAAAAATACAGGTACCTAGGTTGACACAAGTAAATACAAATACCTGGTGGTGTCAGGGTGAATGTGCATATTATGTCTAAATGTCTGCACATATATTTCTTTTTGGCATCAGTTCAGAGCCAGCATTGGTCTACGGATTCTCTGGTAACTACACTGTGCAGTCATTTTTGAGAATGTACTGATTTTTATTAAAATGCAACTTTCCTCATACAAAGAAAAATACTCTGAATATATTTACTCATCAAAATTATAATGCATTAAAAACAATATAGGAGAGGCCGAGGATGTAACTCAGTGGAACGGCACTTGCTTAGCATGCTCAAGGTCCTGGGTTGGATCTCCAGTACTGGGAAACAAAAAATCAAGGAGGTCAAGTAACTGAGAATCAGGTGGACACTCAGACAGGTAATGTTGTTTCTAATAGACTTATTTACTAGATCAGTAATAATTTCAGGTAAGGGTAATCCTAGGCACAAAAAGAAAGCTCTCAGATACAATATTATATTTTATCAAACATATTTTTGACATTGAGTTATTTCTTAAGCTTTATTAGAATGGTTTCATAGGAATATTGCACTATGAAAAAATCTAGTTTATTTACATGTAATCATTTAAAAAAGAGGCTTTAGAACACTAGTGGTCTTAAAATTGCAGTGATCTAGTTTAATGATACTTACACTTTTAATATAATTTTTTGTTATCTTCATTTTGTCACATTTCTTTAACTTTTTAAGAGAATATTTCATTTATAAGTTTAAATAAAGATACATATGAATGTTATTGTCATTGGTCACAAAGTAGCTCTTTAAGGTGTCCATTTCCTTATATTGACAGCCTTCATATAATATTAAAAGAAATACTATTTTATTTATTTTTATTTAATATTAGGTACTTTAGAATGTAAACTGTAATGTGAAAGACACCCTGGCCATATAAATAGGCTTACCTGATATTTGAGCATGTCCACATTGTAATATGTAGCCTGGGGTTTTTGTTCAGACACTTTCTTTAGGTGAGTCATCAGATTTGGCATGTTTACCCAGAATTCCTTGGTATTGGCATCATTTTGTGTATTATCACTATTTAATTGGGAAGAAAAATGATTAAATAGCAGCTTATAACAAATAGCATCTACACAAGCAGCATCATAGAAAATTGCCATCTGATTTCTGTATCCACCCTGGACAACTGGTAGAGATTATATAATTCACAGTTGTGTAGTTTAAGTACAAATGTGGTTCTGAGCAGTATCATGTTAACAGATTAATATCGATATCGAGGAAATACTGTGTTCTAATTCTCAGTGAGTACCCAGTAACATTAACTAGTCACCAATCATGGTTAATCATGATTGCTATAAACCATGATATTCATGGTTGCTTTAAAAAATGAATTATAATCTGAATTTAATAGCTCATCTCAGTTTTGTCTAAATTTGTCAGTTAATGCAATTAAAAAGCTGAACATGTTTATTTGTTTTGAATTCACTTGAGCCATAGGTTTTAGAAATTATCCAGTTAAAGAATTGGCCAAAGGCAAACACGGTCTTTATTACTGGCCAAGGAGAAAAGGGTGACACTAAAATTCCCATGCTACCTTTTCAACATTTAAGACTTCATTCAAGAGTATCTAAACCATAAAAGACATCACTTCACATCCAAGATGATCCTAGAGTGTAAGTGATGGTAACCATGGTAGTTACAATGGAAGAGCAGAGAGCAGTCTTGATGAACCCAGGAGGGTGGAATCCCTGTGAGTCACTAGTTTTACTCAGAGGCATGTCCACAGACCACCCTTTCAATCCATCTTGTAGATGCTTGTCTCAATAATAATACGAATCAAGCAAGAGTGCACAAAGCATTTGTTCATTTCCAACATATCAAGGAAACCGAGACCCCATGTGAGTTTGTAACTGGACACACAGCTTGTTTACAGACATCTTACTTTCAGAATATAAATCTATAATTTTGTAGTTATAATTCTTGAGCACCAATTATGTTCCAGGCATTCTGCTAGATACATTATAAACTATTACATTAAAATCTACCCTGCAAAGGAAGCATTATCTTCAACTTAAAAGATGAGTAAATTTATAATACAAGAAAATTAACGGTTCAGAAAAGAGAGGATTGATAAAGTGAAAAAGAGGTAAAGGGAGATCAAAAGTGAGATGCTACCATTTAGTCTCTAGAAGGCAAACAAATCAAGAAAGCAGAGTTACAAAACTCAGGGCCTTAAAACTACCATTGGTCTGTTAGGAGAGGGTGGCATCTAGGAGGGAAGAGGTCAGGTATCAGTGAGTGTGACCTGTGTGGTTCTGGTAGGCTCTGGTATGAGGTGCTTGCCAACAAAGCAAAGCTCTTTGAATCTTATGGGGCCTGGGAAAGAGTCCTGGCCCTTGAGACTTTTTCCCTGTTCAAGCCGAACCAAGGATATTGATCAGGGCTTTTCATTTTACTTTTATTTTAAAACATCTAAGTTATCCCAAGCTCCCAGAGTTGTCACTACACAAGGAGGCAGGAGATAAGAGCAATGGGGAGGTCAGTGAAATTAAGTAATTTGCTTAAGGTCACAGCGAATATGTAATAGGACCAGGATTCCAACCCTGATCAGTTGCATTTGTCAAACTTTCCCACTAGATCATAACAGAGGTTCAGAATTAATATCTAGCAGGTTGCCATTCATTTATATTAAGTAGAGCTGAATAATTGGGAGGATCTTAATCATGCTATTTTTATTAATTTTATTTATTTCTTTTTTAAATTAATTTTTAAAATTTATATATGACAGTGGAATGCATTACAATTCTTATTACACAAATAGAGCACAATTTTTCATATCTCTGATTGTACACAAAGTATATTCACACCAATTTGTGTCTTTATACATGTACTTTGGATAATAATGTCCATCACATTCCACCGTCATTTCTAATCCCATTTCTAACCCTCTCTTCCCCTCCCACCTCTCTGCCCTATCTAGAGTTTGTCTTTTCCTCCCATGCTCCCCATCCCTACTCCACTATGAATCATCCTCCTTATATCAAAGAAAACATTCAGCATTTGTTTTTTGAGATTGGCTAACTTCACTTAGCACTATCTTATCCAACTCCATCCATTTACCTGCAAATGCCATGATTTTATTCTCTTTTATTACAGAGTAATATTCCATTTGTGTGTATATGCCACATTTTTTTTTATCCATTTATCTATTGAAGGGCATCTAGATTGGTTCCACAGTTTAGCTATTGTGAGTTGTGCTGCTATAAACATTGTCTCCTCGGTCTATACCCAAAGGACTTAAAATCATGCTATTTTAAAAAACAAATACATCTGCTCAGTTTAAAAATAAGCTAATACATATATATATGATTATTTCCTCAAAGAACCTGCTTTAATATTTATTCCAGAAAGCTTTGCCTATTAAATGCCCAAAGAGACACAGAACTCCTCAATGCTAAAGAAATCATGAGAATTCTTCAGTCTCATATTTGGGTTGATAATTTTTCCTGAACATTCTTTGAAGGCAAACCCCTTTCCTAAGATAAAAGGGATTGCAAACTTAAATGCTTCCAGGTTGCTAACCTCAATGACATCTTTCAGTAAAGATAAATGAGAGAATTGGCTGGATCTAAGATGATAGATGCCAAAAGGCTTATACTGCAGTGAAAACAGCTTGGTCACCATTGTCTTTTAAAAATTAGGGATGGTGGTGATGGTGAAGCAGCAGTACATAACAAAACCAAATCGGCAATCACTGGCTAAAGAGTCACCCACTTCAGCCCAGCCACGAAAATGAAAGATTCAGGCTGATGTGGGACTTAGCCTGTCACTGATGGGCAGACCTGGTTGTAGCCAGAGAGATTCCCAGGGGAGAGAGGCCAGGCAAGGGTACACTTTGAGCTCAAAGGAAATAGTAACAAGTTTTGATTCTAGACAGATGCAATGTGAAGCTACCAGAGGGTTATGGGCAAAGATGGGCTGGGTTGTGTTAGAAAACATCATTTGGCTGTTTAAATACATTGTAGCCAAGCAAGATTGGATTCAGGAAGGGAGACAGTTTGCAGTGGTCCAGGGAAATGATAGTGGCCATTTGCACCAAGGAGGTTACAGCAAATTAAAAATGTGGCCACTTTAGAGAGATATTTTTAAATAGAATATCAGGATCTAGTGAAGAGGAAGCTACCAAGAATGACTCCTTTTATCTCATCCACTGCAAATAAATAACTTGGTACAGTTTATCATTTTAATATCATGAATATATGTATGTCTGTGTAGCTGTGCAGGTGCATAATAGACATCATTTCAGATTTAATAGTTAGAAAATGTGGAAAGTATTTATACAAACACATTTGCTTGAACTTCTTTGATATCATACCTGTAAATTTCCATCAAAACACTTACCATTATAATGAAATTATGTTTAACAAGAAAATTTTCAAGTTCATGTGAAGAGTAGCTCATGGTTCAAATATTATTTAATTTTAAAAGATGCTGATACAACAAAAGAGTTCCCTATTATTGGGTTTATTATCCAATGCATATATTGTCACTAACACATTTAATTATTTTCAATGACTCTTTTATCACTTTAGATAGCTGTTCATGAAAATACCCATATGCATATGCAGCTACACATACACACGGAATTATCCTTGGAAAACTTTGACAGCTGGTCAAAGTTCTGTGTCTGAATCTACAAGCATATCAGAGCAGTGGTAGTTAGCAACAGTGCTACTGCTAAGATTTATTTGTCATCTAAGTACAAAGTGCTAAACCACATATATCTAAAAATTTATGCAAAATAATATTTACCAGCAGAGAAGTTGGGGATTTGGCAGGACATGTTCTAACCTGCTGAAATTTATCACCCGAAAAGTCAGAGCAGCTGGGGAGGGGTTGTTGGCAAAGTGTCTGGTGATGCCGGCAGGAAAGGACAATACCATTTCTCCAGTAATCTTAACGATACATCTGGTGTATCAAAACACATGAGAGAAAAGAAAGAGAGGAAATCCAGGTCAATAAACTGTCAATCAAAACAGCTAAGAAAAAGAAAAGATTTGGATAAGTACATAAATAGCAAAAGAGATGATAGGTGTGCTCTTAATTCCTCTCTCAGCTACTAAGTCATTTCTAATTTACATGAGAACTTGTTGCTTAAAACTTACTTTTAAAGAGTGAACTATAAGAATCAAAGTACAAAGTCTATAGGTTGTCCTCACAAATAAAATCATCTACTCTTGTGATTCTCACTTTGATTTCTGAATTTTTGGCAGCATGTTTCAAGATATTAAATTGCATCATATTGTCACATTTTACTGAGACTTTGAGTAATGGGGTTAGTACCTTGAGCATAGTCTTTTACATACTCATGAGGTAAAGTTCTTGCTTACTATTTAATTAGTTCTTTATTCTATTAACTTGTCTATTTGGTCACAATTATAAAATCAGACCTAGAAATTAATGCAATAAAATGATTTTTTATATGTTTATTTTATTTATATGTGATGCTGAGGATCAAACCTAGGGCCTCGCACATGCTAGGTGAGCACTCTACTGCTGAGCTACAACCAAAATCCCCAATAAAATGATATTTTGGAATGAAAAATACACCTTTTTTTGTTAAATGGGCTTTATGGAGGCACAATTAACATACGAGAAACGGTACTTACTTATAGCATAAAATTCTATAACATTGTATGATGTGAAGTCACCATACAACCAAGGTAACCATTTCTATCACCCTAAAACTTTCCTCCTGCCTTTTTTTTGTTCAACATTTTTTAGTTGTTGATGAACCTTTATTTTTTATTTATTTGTGAGAATCGAACTCAGTGCCTCACACATGCTAGGTAAGCGTGCTACCACTAAGCCACAACCCTGAGCCCCTCCTGCCTTTTAACTCCATTTTTGTAATCTCTCTACCCCAACTTTCCACTCCTGATCCCTAGGCAATTGTTAATATGCTTTCTGTTACTACATTAGTTTGCAATTTCTAGTATTTTACATAACAGAATTACAAAGAATGTACTTTAGAGGTGTCAAAGTTCTTTCTATGAGAATTATTATTTTGATATTCATCCATGTAGTTGTGAGCATCAGTAATTCATTTCTTTTTGTTGCTCTGAGGTACTTGGATATACTACTACAATGTTAAAAAGAATCCATTCGCCTGTTGAAAAAACATTCAGGTTCTTTCCAGTTTGGTCTGTTATTAAGGTATAATAAATACATATGTTAGGCCTTTGCATGGATACATGCTTTCCTTTCTCTTGGTAAGAACATGAGTGGAATCACTGGAACATATGGTAAGTGTATCTTTAACTTTTGAAGAAACTACCCAACTGTTTTCTAAAGTGGAAAATACAGCTGTATGACAGCATTTTACTAGTTTCTTCTCTAGTCTGTGGCTTAGTTTTTCCTTTCTCCTAAGAACACTTTAAAGGGCAAGTTTTCAGTTCATCAATTTATTTCTTATAGATTACCTCTAATCCAGTTATACTTTTAGTGTCCTAAGTAGTCAAAATTTTTTTTTACCTATAGAAGTTTTCTTTCTTTTTAGTTTTGCATGTACTTTGTGATCCATTTTTGGTTAACTTCTGTATACTTCTGTATACAGATCTGAGTTTATCTGTATGCAGCAGCTATCTAACTGTATCAGCACATTTGTTCAGAAATGACTATCCTTTCTCCATTGAATTACTTTGGTTCGATTGTCCATGTTTGGGACGGTGTCTGGATCCATTGTTCTGTTTCATGGATCTATTTTGCCTATTTTAAAACCAATACCACCCTGTCTTGATTACTGTAGCTTTACAACAGTTCTGAAATCAAGTCATGGTAGTCATCCAACTTCGTACTTTTTCAAAGTTGTTTTGGGTATTGTATGTCCTTGCATTTCCATATGAAATTTAGAATCACTGTATTAATTTCAACATAAAATAAATTTATTACCTCTCAGTTCCAATTCATCATTAACTGCCCACTCTAAAAATCCATGAATAATGGGCCCTTTCTCCTTCTTTTTGCCAACAAACTCCATGTTAAGTCTTGTCAGTAGAGGGCGCTGGACAGAAAGCATGTTCAATTCCAGTGGGCTTGTTAGGCAGGTTCCTATAATGTACAGGGCTTTTCTAGGGCCAAACTCCTATAATGAATGTGGTGTCACCTAGAGTGGGTTGTAAAAGTAGTTCTGCCAGTGACCAGTAGCATAAGCAGCTTTCCTATGGGCTCATATAGTTCAAGTGATTGGGCTGCCCCAATGACTAGATTCTACAAAGCCGGAAGGGTTTCTAGCTCTGGGTTCTTGCCTTGTGTGTGCTAAATTTCAACCTTCTTCCCTCCTGGCTTCTGCAGTACATGGTGGCCAGCTGCACAACTTGCCATTAGTTTCCTTTGGCATCTTCTTAAGCCAATTTGGCAGTGGAGTGTTTCAGCAACATACCTCCCCATGAACAGTTAGTCGGCAGGGCTCTGCCTATGCCATGCCCAATAACTTGAAGAAGTGAGCTGGCACAGCTCACCTCACCTTTCAATGGGGACAGTCCTTCACCTGAGGTCCAGTGTTTGCAAATCTTTGTTTCATGCATTTTGCCCATATTTGAGCTATTCCAGGTGAGAGAGTAAATTGGTCTGATACTCTACCTTGGTCAGAAGCAAACATCTCAAAAAGTTTATTTTTCTTTGGAAAACAGGAAATACAGTTAGCCCTCAGCTTCTGCAGATTCTATGGAAAATTGTGTCTGTACTGAACAACTACAGACTTCTTTTTCTTGTCATTATTCCCAAACAGTACAGGCTACTGCTATTTATATATTATGTATATGATGTTAGACTTATAAATAATCTAGAGATGATTTAAAGTATATAAAAGGATTGCATAGGTTATAGGCTAACATGATACCATAAGGGAATTGAGCATCTGCAGATTTTGGTATCTGTGGGGGGTTCCTGAAACCTATTCTCCCTCTACACATTGAGGGATGCCTGTATTTAAAACAAGAGACCTTCTTTAAGATTTCCCCATACATCTGGATAATTGACTCATGTATCACTTCAGCTCCAAACTCAAGAATGAAATTTCTAGGTTAGTAAATGAAAACTTTGCTCACATTTGAGAACAAAAGACTCAATTTTCACCCATAGTCACTTGATGTACTATGCAACTCTGTAATTGATGGGATACACCTAGCTCAGGTGAGATGGTACATTTTCAAAATAGTGTGTGGGAAGAACTGCCACAGCTTTGTATGTGTAATGCTGGGTCTGGGTTAGAAGTAGGGTGAGGAAAGGTGAGTTTCCTCAAATTGCCATGTATTTCTCCCTCACTCAGATGTTATCCATGAATTTGCACCACTCTGAATAAGAATTTTGCTTTCTGGAAGTTTGCATTTTTGTCTCCCCTGGAGAATATTACTGATCTCCCAGATTGGGCATAAATTGCTGTCTTTCTCCTCTACTTTTTAGAGTCATTAACCTTGTTTGATTACTGGTGTTTAAGTGGTGCCTAAATTAGCTTCTCCTCAAGCTAATTCTACTCTTGATGCTTGTCAATACATGGACATGTAGAATATTACATTCTGGAAGACAACCACAGTTTTTCAGAGCACTTGTTAATTTATATGTCAGCACCTACCATCACTCAGTACATTGCGGTTAGCAGTAGTGGCCCATGTGTGTTTTAATTGATAGGGAGCCTTCTCAGTTTCTTTTCTAGGTTGTTGAAAAGGAAATCTAAGAAGTGTCTTGGTAAGGAATGAGTTTGTCTTTTGTAAGCATTAACCTTTTGGAGAGGAGAGGATGTGACATTTATTAATCAAAAAACATTTACTCACTCCCTTGCCATGCAAGCTGTTATTATTATTATTATTTTGAGCAGGAGGCAATTAAAAAAGAAAGAAAGAAAGAACAGTAAAACAGTTCCTGCCTCTCAATGGCTTTCAGTGTTGGGTAACAGAGTAGTTTGCATAGTCCAGAATAAAAAGTATGGAGGCTCCTCAGTTATATTTCTGCATCTCCATTGTCAGAGGCAGATCTTTGCTGATTTATTAATCCATCCAGTGTCTAACTGGATCTGAAATCTTTGCATAAAATTTATTATTTTGAATATTCTCTAAAGGAAAATAATTTTTTACCTTAATGATTGTTCCTATCAGTATGGTAAGGTGGCTACATTTAATGTGAGTTCGAATTACAGAAATTAAAAATGATGTGAAATGGAAATATGAACAAACTCTTTATGAATAAAATTTCAAGTGGTATGAATCCTCACAGATGAAATGTTCATCAAGAATGGCAAAAATTTTTAAAGTCAAGTGGACTTATAAATTGGGCTCTCCCTATTGACACAGGTAGCACTATGTTTGCTGGCTGTCAGATGTAACGCTGGCCAGTTTGGGTAGGTGAATGTTGAATCTGAATTATATGCTGTCCCCAGAAACACACTCCTCCTCCTAAGTGAAACTTCCACATACTACATTGATAACTAAGCCCACAACTCTCTTCATAAGAGGTCTTCAATGAATATGCAGCTTGACATCTTTTATTTATATGCCTCTTTCATTGACTTGTATATTAAGCAAAATCCTTTTCATATTACAAGACTCAGTTCCAGGGAAGCCCTTTCAAAAGGGCTTCAACCTTCCTTAATTTTCCTTTCTCTGGTCCCCTTAGACACAAGTACAGATTATTTTTAGGAAACCAATGTAGTTTCTTATACTTCTAATCTACTATTGTGAAGGTAAGTACTGTGTTTTCAGTTCTGGGAAGACAAAGGTGCACAAAATGCAGAACATAACAGGGCAGGAATTCAATGAAATGTTATTAGAATAAATTTATACTTCTAACAACTGTAGAAATGGTACCTATAAAACATACCAAATTCTGTGTACTGCACTAGAATCAATAGCAACAAATAGAATATGCATGGTACTGTACAAGCTTCCTGTTGAAACAGGAAGACAATACAGAATGAATAATTAACATATGAGGATAAGAGATGGTAGCATATTTTGAGAAACTCAAGTTTTTCTAAGGGATTAGGAAATTAATCCTTTTACCTTATCTTTTAGTGCCTTGGCTATTCAAATGTGAACTGGTAATGTAGCAAAGGTCAAAGATTCTCTGCCTATGACCTACTCAAAAAGATGCAAAAGTCAGAGTACCTGTTCCAGGTGCTATCCATGTTTAGGGAATGAACATAACTATATTTGAATGTGTTATTATTGCATGACATTGTATGTAATAATTAAGCTAATAGGTTTCTGGATCCATTGTCTGAAAATAAGTGGCTTTAATGCAAGATAGCAGTTGGCTTTATTTCTACCTGGTTTTAGAATCTGAGAAGTTTCCTGAAAGTGAATAATGAAGGAAGAAAAATAAAATGATTTATTGCCTGGACATGGAATAGAGAAAAAATATCACCTCATAATTTGTTCATGAATTTCAGATCTCAAAATTTTAATGAAATACAGTGGATCTTCCATTTAAATTAAATGTTATAAGAATAAATGTAAGATATACTGCAACTATTTATGACACTATATTTGAAGACAGATTGCATATATATCCATAAGCCATATATACATATGTATATATATATACATATACATATATGTGTATATATGTGTATGTGTGTGTGCGTGTGTGTGTGTGTGTGTATATATATATATATATATATCTCCAAAAGCTAAGCTATATATATCCAAATGCTGAGCTAATTAGAAAGGACATAGGAAGGGCACTAAATTATTAGGCTCATGGGAATGCTACGATCATGGTCAGTAGGCTCACAGGTGCAGACAGACCTCTTGACACAACTGTCATGTGTGCTGGGGAGACCGAATCAGTATAAAAAAACCTGGCTTGTATTGTGATAGGCCCACAGGGGTTATACCACTTCTTAGAAATAAAACAAAAAATATTATTAAGGGCTTCTTTTTTTAATATTTATTTTTTATTTATAGGTGGACACAATATCTTTATTTTATTTTTATGTGGTGCTAAGGATTGAACCCGGTGCCTCATGCATGGTAGGTGAGCACTCTACCTCTGAGCTACAACCCCAGCCTCTATTAAGGGCTTCTTATCACCCATTGCCCCATATCTGCACCTATTCTTTTATGGACTGTGTAATACATTTATGCACAAGTCTTATTTTCCATAGCAGCTATTCTTCATCACCAATACTCGTTCTATCTAGTTCAATGGCAGGTACACAGTGGCCATTCTGTAGATGTTAGGTGAGTCCTTCCACTACACTTGTCCGGCAAACACCCCTTGAGTATTCCATGCCAGATCCTGTTTTAGGTGCCAAGGATATATGGTGGACAAAACAGTGGGGTTAAGAGAACCATAATGGACAACAGGGAAAAACATGTAAGATGTTAATGAGGAGGGTTATGGGGAAAGAGGAAGAGGGGAGGAAGGGAAGAAGGAAGTGTTAAGTGGGGAGGGAGGAATGTGGTTACTTTATATACGTAAACAGGAAATTCTCTGATAAATCTTCGTAAGAACCACAGGAGGATGGTCTGGGGCTGTAGCTCAGTGGTAAAGTGCATGTCTCGCAAGTGTGGCTAGGATTTGGAAATGAAGGATAAACAGCCAGGAGACCAGCATGCCTTCCCCAGAGTGAGTAGGGAGGTGAGGGTGTGCAGGTCTTGAAGGACAGAGCATTACGTGTTTTTGCTTTGAGCAAGATAGGAGGGTTTTGAGCAGAGTAATGACATGACATGAGGAGAGTAGACTCTAGAGGACAGAAGTGTAAGTGGAAGACCCATTAGGGCTCTCTGAGTGAATAAGTGAGGGAGTGAGTGAAAGCCGAGTCAGCAGCAGTCAGAAAAGAATTCACTCTGGTATGATTCCCAGTGGTTTTCACACCAGCATAACCATTCTCTTTGCACTCTTAGTTCTTCTTTTTAAAAAGCATGTATCTGTCTGTTTCCTTCAATGAAGGCCAGCTTGAGTTTCCTAAGGTATATGTCAGTTGGCAATAAATAGTTCTTAGAACTGATAAGACAGAAAGTTATGCAGATTCTTTGTACAAAAAAGATCCTGCATAACCAGCATGTATGTGGAAAGTATGTACACAGCCGAAGCCTGGTGCTCAGAAGCTCAGATGAGGTAGCTTTTAATTTCTATAGACAGTGTGGTTATGGCACATGGCTCAAGTGCTTAGAAGATGATTGAGAAAGGACATGAGAGAAACCAGAGCCCACAGAGTTTATTTCTCTACAATATTATGGACTATTATGGTTTGGATCTGGAAAGTTCCCCAAAGGATGGTATAATGAAGGCTTGGTTTACCATGCAGCAATGTCTAGAGGTTTTAGGAAAATGACTAGTTCATGAGGGCTTTGATTTCATTCACTCAAGAGGGTTAATATAACCATCAAGTGGATTAATCCATTTGATGGATTAATAATACTAATGGACTACTGGGAGGAGATGGAAGTTGTTGGCAGGTGGGGCATGGTTGAAGTAAGTATATTACTAGGGGTTGCGCCCTTGGGGACTACATCTTGTCCTTGACCCATTCCCCTCTCTGTTTCCTGGCTGCCTTGAACTGAGCAGCTTTCCTTTGCTCGCCCTTCCACGGCGATGTTCTGCCTGTTCAGCAATGGAGCTGAAACCTTTGAAACCTGAGCCAAAATAAACCTTTACTCCTCCAGGTTGTTTGTGTCAGGTATTTTGATCACAGCAACGAAAAGCTGACTAACACATGGGTTTAGAATAAAATCTACGTATTGTTGAAAGAGATGTGACATTTAGGGAGATTGGTAGATCCCAGGGGCTGGCATTACACCTAAAGGTGGAGTTACTAATTATATTGGTTTTCCAGTATAATTTTGTTAGGGTTAGACTTTAAAAAAAAAACTAGTGTTTCTAAAGTGTAAAGAGGATTCAACTTAGTCATACAAATTGCCACTTAAAATATATATGGGGATTCAAGTTCTAATAATACTTAATCATCACTGTTTTAAAATTTTATTATAAAATTGTCTGCATGCACGTTTAATTTTAAATTCATTCTTCCTATCATAGATAGAAGGTTTTCCGAGCCTTAGTCCTTGTAAGTTAAAAAAAAAAAAATTAAGAGAGCAATTTTTTCCCTTCCCTATGTTTCCCCTTTGTTTATAATCAGATTAAGATCTGGTATTATGCTTATGACATTTAAAAACTGGTTTGACTTAGGCGTTTAGTTTTCAGTGTGGACTAATAGCCACTCTTTTATTTATTTATTTATTATCATGAACCCCTTTGGTAAACTGATGAATTCTGTAGTTGCTCTCTCTGGTAAAATGCACACAAAAGATATGCAATATAATTTCAGGGAATGCACAGACTTTCTGAATCCTACCCATGGAACTCCTTGTCAAGATGTAAAGTATTTAATGATGCCACAAATATGTTCAGGTCAAGTTCACTGTCAGTACATACTGCTATAAATGAAATCAGGGTCATTTGAATAGAGGGTACTGCATTTTCCCCCTAGAATTTTAATTTTGCTATGATTTTAATTTTTCCTCTTCTTTTTGGACAGTATTTCCTTCTTAGTGAGGATATCAAATAACTTATTCCCTTGTTTTACTGGGCATTTTGGGAAGGTCTTTTTCTTCCATGTTATCATTCCAATGATCCACTATTTCCACCTATATGTGGGCTGTTCCCTTCTGGGGAAGACTAAGACATAAAAGAAAGGATCTGGACGTAGCTTTTAGGGGACCATAAACTTTCTCAAGTTTGACAGAATTAGAGTGGGTTTCTGTTACTTGCAATTAAAACTGAATCAGAGATTTCTAAACAGTAAGATATCAGATTGTTGGATCATTTGATGCTTGTTAAAAAGCAGATAATATTACTAATTAAATTTTATCCTCTATTCTAGGTGTGTCAACTATTATTGTTAACTGAATTCTTTATGGTTTTAGGATAAAGAGTAATATAGTTACATTTGGGCTGTCCCCTGCTAGATAGGATAGAGTTTGGAGAATACAGTGGACCACGTCCAAGGCTTACTTGCTTGGATCTGCTCCTTTGAAGTAGGCATTGACAGTTTCTGTAAATGCTGCTGCAACAGGGAGGGTGTCCTGGGCTCCCATGGTTAGGGGGCTGGGTCCCCTGGAAGAACCTGCATGAAATGAAATGCTTTCATTTATTAAGAGACATCTAGTATACATGGAACTAAAAGCCCATAAAAGGATTAAGGTATAAAATCTATTACTAAAAAACGTGCTAAGAACTATAACTCTGTATGCATATTCAACATAGAGCTCAAGTATTTGAAAGGAAATATTTGGCTGGTTTACAGACAAACACACTTGAAATTCATTCAATTATGTATCACTACAGAAAAGAAAATCCAAGCAGAACAAAGTCACAAGAGTTTTCAAATGTCTTGCATAAAGCATGAGGCAGTATTTTGCATGACAGTTTGTGCAGCAGGTAGTTAATAAATAAGATCATTACTTTTCTATTTCCTATTTGAGCATTCAACCTAGTCAATTTCTCACACTTAAAACTTTGGAAGGGCCCAACTGTCAAGTGGTATCATATTACACACACTGTCCCTTTCTGGATTATTTTCATTTCGAAAAATTCAATTATTCTTAGTTCAAGTAAGCTCAAGTTTACACCTCTAAAAACATATACAACCAAAATGTACATAGTGCCTAATTACAAGCACATAAATGCACCAATTCACACTGTTAAAAATATCAGCAGCTCTCCTGCTTTATTGAACACCTGCTGTGTACCAGACATCACATTCATTAGGTGCCTTACATGGATTATCTCATTCCACCTCCACCTTTGCCCAATGGGCATGCTGGTTCCATTTTGTAGAAGAGAAAGCTGAAGGTCAGAAGGGTAAACCTAAATTTGTCTTTCTAGAAAGCTCATATTTTCACCACTATACCATACAGTTTGTCTATATGAAAGATTCAACTGTATCATTTTGCTGTAACCTGTAGCTTCCAAATGCACCAAGGGTTAGAATTGCCATCTTCGCTACTAACCTCGAGGCATGGTACTGACAGTAGAGTAAATAGTATTTATGTCTCATGCTCACTTCTCCCCACTTCTGGCATATGCTAGTGTTGAGTTGTTTTCTTCTGCTTTCAGTAACTTCTGTATTCTCCAGCTATGCAAAAATTCTACCCTCTGTATACTTCCTTCCTCAATAAAACCCTTCTTGATCATTCTAGTTCATGCTAATTACTTTCTTTTCTGTCTTCTCTTGGCTCCCAATAGTTTGGACTTGGTAACTGACAATTAACTTAACAAACATTTTTTAATATCTACTGTGTCTCAGATGCCATTTTAGGTACTGAGGATGCAATGATATATTAAACATGATCCTTGTCCTGAAGCACTTATAGTTAAATATGTCAGACATTTTTTTTTAAAGAGAGAAGAGAGAGAGAGAGAGAGAGAGAGAGAGAGAGAGAGAGAGAGAGAGAGAATTTTTAATATTTATTTTTTAGTTTTCGGCGGACACAACATCTTTGTTTGTATGTGGTGCTGAGGATCGAACCCGGGCCGCACACATGCCAGGCGAGTGCACTACCGCTTGAGCCACATCCCCAGCCCATATAGTTAAATATGTATTAGCAGCAGCAGTATCTTCACCATCAACCTTCACTATCAGGGTTACCTCCACCACCATTATTTGTTGTACACTTGCTGTGTGTCTATGTTGGAAGAGAGTATTATCTTCATTTTGCAGTTGACAAAACTGCTATAGTTTGGATCTAGAGTGTCCCCCAAGTGCCAGTATGTTAAAGGCTTGGTCATTAGCCTATAGCACCATTAGAAGGTGGTGGAACCTTTAAGAAGTAGATCATTGAGGGTATGGTCCTGACAGAGACATTGGGACCCCAGCCTCTCTCTCTCTCTCTCTTTTTTTGCTTTTTGCTGTCATAAGAACTGACCTTTTCTGCCACGTGCTCCCACCATGATGTACTGTGCTGTCACAGGCCCAAAGCAACAGGGACAGGCAACAATAAATTGAAAACTTTGAAATCATGAGCCAAAATAAACCCCTTCTCCTTTTAAGCTGATTATTTCAGGTATTTTGTCACAGTAATGGAAAACTGACTAACCCCAGAACCAAGGCTCAGAGATTTTATATAACTTGCTAGTCTTACATAGCTGGTATACAAACAATTTAAAATTGTTAACTGAGATTTTGTATGAATTAAAGATTCATACGTAATCTAAGGATTATATTATTTTACCTCCTATAGTCGATTGTGGTACTATTTAAGGTCAGGCAAATACCTATAGCACTGTTAGAGTGTGTATATCTAAGTCTTTGTTGCCTGTGGGATTGTAAACTCCTAAAATGAAGGAACTAAGGCATGAGCTTCTTTTATGGCACTGCCATACTCCCTATCACAGAACCAGAATTACATTGACCTTTTGTAAATATATGTTGAATTATCCATTGTTGGATCTCAGTAAGGCAAAGTCTATACAAATCTGTAAATAACGAAGGCACAATAAAAAGAGGTCATTACTTTGCAATGTTGTTACTCAGTTTATTTGCTCATTCATTCATTCAAATATTTATTGAGTGACTAATAGGTTTTGGAGGAGAAATGTTTCCCTAAGTAATGGTTAAAGTAGGGCCAGAGTGGTGAGAGGGCTGGAATACTCAGTCACCTTTTGATTGGAAGTTGGAATTGGTGAGGGGGCAGAAAAACCTGCAAATGCTAGAGTAATTCTATAAAGGCTTTTAAAGAATGGTGTGAGCAAAGCCCAACTACTGCTTGAAAAGATCAAGGAAGGCTTCACTGAGAAGATGATACTAGAGCTGAGGTTTGAGGATGAATAAGGTCTCATGAAGGGGAGGAGAAAGGAGACCAGCATGCACATGAATGTGGGCCTGAGCAGACACATGGCCTTTTGAGAAAGCACAAAAAGTGTGTTGTCAGTGTGCGGAGGGGAGTGCAACTGGTACTGGAGGGTGAGACATGGAAACAGAAGAGTCTCAGGTCGTCAAGAGTTTTGTATAAATGTTTGGGAAAATTTGTCTTTATTTTGTAAATGATTTATAGGCATTAAAATCATAGTTTCTTTCTTTTTTAAATCATACTTTCTTTTTGACAATCTTATACAAATCCTGGGTGTTTTTCTGAGCAAAGTATCTATCTATCTAATTTATATAATTTGAAGAAGGATTATAAATTCCATAAGATCCTTGAGGGTCCTGGAACGAGTTTAGAACACCTTCTATCCAAGATGAGAGTCCCCTAGAATATTTGAGAGGGGGGCTGCGAGCTTTACTTTAGATCACATTGGCTATATTGTGGAAGACAATTTAATGAGGGAGACAATAATGAGATGAGACTTCTTAAAAAGAAAAAAGATAAAATTGGTGAGAAATGCAGATGTTCATATAGAAAAGAGAATGTTATGGGTATTTTATTTTTTAATTCTGCAAAGCATTTAGTAGTCTTTCATGACATTCTTGTGAATAGTGAAAGTTGGGTGGATAACAATCTTTCTAAGTAGTCTGATAGTTAGATGAATCACAATATCTAATGAGCATGAATCAGGGGTTCCATGTCTTTTTTGTTTTGAGGAGAAACTCTCTGGGAAATGATCTCAGAGGTCTGTCCTTAGTTTGGGCTCTTTAGTTCCTTGGATAAAACTAGAAAAAATGCTCAGAAATAGCACATTGTAGAGGCTAAGAGCATGGCATTTGACATTAGACACACCTAGGACTGAGTGCTGTCTCTGCCCTCATTATCTAAATGATCTTTGGCAGGAATGATGTAATAATACCCATTTTGTAGACCTGTTCTCAGGATAATATAAGTTAGAGCATTTAGCCCAGCACTTGGTTCATAGAAAACACTGAACAACAATGAGCTATTTTATGATAATTATCATAATTTAACATCGTATACAGAGGTTATCTAAAATAATAACAGGTTTATTGAAATGTTCAAAAATTTCTCAAATTTTTGGGATACTTAGCTGGCAATAACTAGAAAAATATTGGCACAAATCAGTGTGAAATGCTTACATATCAAGTTTAAAAATTAGTCAAACAATTGTAGCTTGAGGAAGACTGACTTGGTAGAAGAATGTGTGAGGGAAAAAACCCTTCTGGGGGTTTCAGCTAATCAGCTTTCTATTGTTGGGTTCCAAACACTTCAGCTAACTTGGGCTGTATTAAAGGAGGAGTAACAGAAAGATCACTGGGAGTGATGGTTTCACTGTCTTCGTTGTTTTTATGCATGGCTCAAAAGCATATGAGATTGCAATGAGAACACTAGTTCACTACAACTTGTGATGTACAAGGCCATCTGGAGTCTGACTTAGTTTTCTCTCTCATGATCTGTGTCCTCCCACTTCCTCCAACAGCCCTTACCTAGCTATGCCTACCTCTGGGCATATAGTCCTTGCTGTAGATCTCATCATAATTTCCAAGGAAGCAGAAACACACTAAGCACTTCCAAATACATCCTTTTACCTTAAAAGACTCACAGTTTACAACTCTACTTTCTGGACATGCCTATACATGTTATAGTATGCCATTTTGGATTTTTCTTTTATTACATAATTTTCCTCATTCTTATCTGTTGTTCATATCATTTCCCACAACTATTTATTATTCTACAAACCTTATCCTACTGTTAGGCCATTTCTAAGTACTAATCGAAATTCATCTTTGTATGAATTGAATTGATCTTCTCCTCCTTTTTAACTATTTCCTTAATTTTATTCCTTCTTGGTTTGGCACCAAACCTAAAAGCAGATCATTTTTAACTGTTAAGAATGCCAGGGTAATATGAAAAATTGTGCTCTATATATGTAATAAGAATTGCAATGCATTCTGCTGTCATATATAAATAAAAAAAGAATGCCAGGACATTTTACATAACGATTATACTCAATCATAATGCTATTAGTAATAAATGAATGCTTCTGTTCCTCCACAGAACCTCAGAATCTTTGTTTAATAGGATTATTGGAAACTGGAATAAAACCAGGAGAATGTCCAGGATGGTGAGAAACTCAATCCTTATGGCTGAGAGGACTAGAAGAAGGATCTGGAAATTGTTTTATAATACCTGAAATAATATCACTAGTCAATGACTCAGGGGACCAGAGGTCAAGGCTATATATCTTCAAGTTAATAGCTTTGTGACCTTGGGGAAGTCAATTAACCTTAGTTTCTCTCAACCAAGAAATGAAGGCAATCACTGAATACTCTCTGCTTTAGGATGCTATGATTTTAAGATTTTTATAGGTATTTAAAATTTTTTATAGTAAGAACAATTTTCTAATAGAGAAATAAGCTGCCCTGAAAATAGTCCCCCTTCACTGGTGATTTGTGTGGGTCTATCATGTGTGTTGAGCTTCCACTATGTATGAGAGAATGTTGGGGACACAAATGTGTAAACTTTCAGAAAATAAAGACATAAATGAATGGAACACTAAATAAGAACAGTAAGTGCAATTAGGAGTTTAAGATGATAGTTCAATTGACAGAACTATAAAATTATTTCACTGCATTGATAAATGCATGGTAGAGGAGATGCTATTACATGGTTTAAGTAAAGAAAACTTGGGCTCTATAGTCATATTGACTTGGGTATAAATTTCAGGCTTTTCCACTTGTAATCTATATGACTAAGGATAAACTATTAAAGCCCGTGACTCAGTTTCCTCATCTTTAAGATAATATCAATAAAAGTGTCCATATTAAAGACTTGTGGTGAACACCAAATAACATTTGTGAAGTCCTTAATGTGGAACATATTTAAAAAACATTCTAGTTTTATTTTTTTGCTGTTATTGGGTCAGGGTGAGTTTTACTGAGGTTGTGGAATTAGAGTTGCTTATCTAAAATTGAATAGATGTTTCCTTTAGGAAAACAAAGGTAGATGAAACTACAAATGTAATTCTTCACTGAGAGTGAAGATTGACTGGGATTTGTTTTTTTTCATCACTAAAATTTTGTTTTTAAAACAAAAATGAAATGTGTGTATACATGCCTAACTTGTCACAGGTCAGATAAATGGCTGTTGTATCTGTTTAAGGTGCTTGATATAGTACTTGTGCCTGTAGGAGACAAAAATTGACGAAATACACACTTACTTTATTCAAATGAACAAATCTATAATCTGAACCTGGGAAAATTACCTAATCTCTCTTTGAGTTTTGGCTTCATCGTATTGTAAAATGGATACTTTTCACAGATATTGTGAGGATTAAATATGATAATATAGGATGACCTTGTTATCTGAGAATAGTCAATATCAAAAAAGTTGCTTAAAAATAATGTATTTAAAATGGATACTAATATTTCATGGTAAAATGGGTATTAAAATTTCATGGTATATAATGAGAGAAAGGTTTGTTTGAGACTCTAAATTGACATAAACCAAACTTGTGGAAAGATCTTTTGTTAACAATATTGAGCTACAATGCTACTTAATAAGTTCTTAAAATGAACACAAATGATTTGTGCTGATATTTTCAGGAAGGGCAAATTTTTTCAGTAAAATTATATTATAGCTTTCCATACCGTCTGAGGTTCAGAATTGGCTTTGATTCATGACCATAAATGAAGCCATTATTGCTAAGGGCCTCTCAATTTCTTGATTTTTCTTTTAAGGTGGCTATGATATCAGCAAATTTCCCCCCCTCTGTCCTTAATTATTAATAGTTTTATTTCTGTCAACTCAATGGACGACGACTTTGGTTGTGATTGAAGCAGACTTACATAATCACTTTCATTGACTTCATAGAATGCTGCATACCAGTTAAGATTAGCAATTATACTCTGTAATAAGATGCACTGCATTTGGATAGTACAGCCATTGTTGTAAGGTCAGATATTTAATGGAAAAACTTACTGGTTCTGCATTCATATAATGGATGGGGATATGTGCTAGTGTTAATTTGGGAAAAAGGATATTGAAGTGAAGATTAATGTTAGAAGTAAATACTTTTATGTCATCACGGCCTTTGCTTGCCTTCAGAATCCATTAACAGCAAGGTCACCAAAACTGAACAGTTTGGGTAGGGATTCACCAGTATGTGTGAATTGCAGTACCTGGTACAGAGTATTCAATGCACTGGTAGCCATTACCACTAGCAGTGAGGACAAATCTACCAACAGTCATCACATGCAATGTATTATTTCAGGCTGCCCTCAAGGCTGTGTGCACAGGAGGGGATGTGAGGAGATTAGAAGTTCTTCCTAGGTCAGTAGAAAGAACAGTATCATGAGACTTTAAATTGAAAATGTGAGAACACACTTATGTGACCTTATGAGCTGAATTGATGATTAATAAAGTAATTCTAAAAAAAGTCACAGCAGCTTGTTTTTTTTTTTTTTAATTTAGGATAAGTTTGGGGAAAGAAAAGTCAAATTTGATCTTTTCCTTTACATTTTGGAATGTTATGATTTACATTTGGTTCACATTGTAAAAAATATATGTGTATTGTAAGTGTACATGTATGTTCATGCTGCATATAAAAATCTACAGACTAAATTTTGGGGAGTTTTGACAGTCTAATACTATTATTTAATCTAAAAATAATACTTTTATGATGAGAGTGAATCTGAGCATATACTTTTTGAATTCCAGGGATGACATTAAGTGTTCCACGTTTGCTTTATGGAAGCTGACGCTTTTATGGAAAACATATTATTATCACCATTTTATAGCTGACCAACCTGAGGCTTAAAAACGTCAAGAAGCTTCCCTCTGTAAGTGCTACCTTGTCTTCTTGTGTTGAGAGGGAAGTAGCATCAGTTGGCCTTCTTAGTGTCAATAAAGGAAAAAGCGGGGGGGACTTCAAAAAGCAAGGAGCCAATATAATCGAATACCTGCTTTGAACTAGACACTGGCTTTTATGCCTTACATATAGTGCATCATTTAATTATGAGTACAGCTGTGTGCCCGGCTGGGCATTACCACATATTACAGATCAAGAAAGAGAGAAACTAGTCTTTGCCCATGTTCTTACAATCAGAAGGTAGCGGAATCAGAATTCACACCTAGGTCTATCTGGCTCCATGCTTTCCCATACAAGCAGCCCCAAGGTATAAGTAAATAGGGTTACAATTGTTTTCAGCCTTTCTCCTTGCCTTGCCTACTTGCCCTGCCCTGGTTTACACACACACACACACACACACACACACACACATACACACTTTTGCTTTTTAAATTCTGTGTAGTCCAGAAACATGGAATCAACTAATATTTTTTGTCATAGTTGATAGTTTTTCTTCAAACTGAGTCTTTCCTTAACATTCTTAAATTGTCACCCAAAATTAATGCCTATTTTGTTCAACTCAGGAAACAGGAAAATTGTGCTTTGTTTTCATCACCAGAGCCATAGCAAGCCACATATTCAACTAAGTTCCTCAGGTAAGAATTTACTGTTTTCTTTGTCTAACATGAGGACTCTTGTTGCCAAATCCTAAGCATTTTCACATTGACAGCACTGAGAGTTTGATCTGAAATTGAGCTAGCTATAGCCTGGTACTATGAAGGATGTGAATAATGATATGGAGAGCAAACTTATGCAAAGCACTTACTGGGATGGCCACTGCATGGAATTATTTACATGCATATGTCTTCCCATCTCAAAACATCTCTTAGAGGCACATACCATTATTATGTATATTTCATCATGGAGGACATTAAAGCTTAGTGAAATTAATGATTTGCCATCGGTAATGTATTCTACAGCAAGTAGAGGAGCTGGAACTGAAGCCCATGTAACTTTAATTGTATTCTTAAACCCTACCCCATATGTGAATGCTTACCCTATGGGTTAGTAAGATTTACTCTATACAGCATGCATTGTTAATGGGTTAGTGTCACCTCAAAGGAGGTAAAAATTAGTTCTTGGAAAATTATGAACAAAATCCTACTTTTTAAATATATAAAGCACACAAATATACATAAAGTACATAGTCAGATGTATACTACATGTGTGATATTAACATTCTATTGGGGAATAGAAGTAAAAAAATAAATCTAAAAAGGATCTCTGAATAAGTGAATGGGGAATAATGAAAAACAAGTGTGAGAAGCACTGATCTATAGGTTTAAAAGGGCCAAGGATGTGAATGTTTTCATATAACTCAACAACTTGAGAAAAATGTAAGGTACTGGATTTATTAAAGAATAGTAATTTTTCTATCTTCAAACTTATACTGAATGAGTCATATCTGCAGTGCTATGATTATCTGTGATTTAGTCAAGATTTTGGGGGGAAAATTCTAGAAAGGACTTTCCAAGGGAACCGAGTATAGGGAAGGAGGTTCTGGTCAAGCCAGGAGATGGTTTTCCTATGAGCAATGTAGTTAATCCTTGAGCCTGGAAATATGTGAACATGGTCTGGGGATTCAGGAATGAGAAGCTAGAGAAAGCCTGGGTCAGGCTAAAACCAAACAGGAGCAAGGCCAAACACAGGTAGGTAGACAATGAAACATGTCCAGTTGCTTGGATGGAAGAAGCAAGAGCCAGGGGAGGATGAGGAGAATTAGAGTTTCTAGAAATGACATCCAAGAACATCAGGCATGGGGAGTATGGTCTCCATGTGGCAAATCTGCTGGGTATTTTCAAAGAATTGGTGGCTGCTAGAAGATTCTGTCTTGGGCACTAGCCCCGTTCTCACATAAAATTGGGAAATATTAAGACTTTTAAAAGAAACAGAAATATTCACTGAAGAACCATAAATACCTTAAAAAGTATTAAAATATTTTCAGCATCACTATTAATCAAAGAAATGCAATAAGAAGAAAGCAATTTTTGCTTTTGAAGATCATAAAAGATCTGAAAAAGCTAATATTACATACTTCTGAGAATATGATAAAATTGGCACTTTCATGTGATGTTTGTGGAAGTAAAATTTTGCAAAATTTTTCTAGAAAGCTGTTTGGCAATGTGCACCATGAATCTTTAAAAGGTTCATAATGTTAGTCCATAAATCCAATTTTAAATACCTGTTCTAAGAAAAATATCTTAAGGCCAGAGAATAATGTGTAAAGATATTCATTGCATGGGGTAAAACTTCAAATAATTTACATATCTAATAACTAAAGTGGGTGAAATAAGTCATGAGTAGTGATGGAATGCAGCATTATACAGATACTAAAAAAAGTTTTCAGTAAATAAGAAATGGAGCTAAAAAGTTACATATTGCATTTTCCCTATTAGATTGTAAAGATAAAAAAATACTGACACAATTGTGTAGATAAGGGCATGAAAACATTGTTAATCATAATGCTGTGATGGACATTTTGGAGGCATGTTTGGCAATATGTAGTAGTATTTGAAATATGCATATTCTTTCACTCAGCAACTCCATTAAAATTTTTTTTTTTGTAGTTGTAGATGGACAGAATGTCTTTATTTTGATATTTTTTTAATGTGGTGCTGAGGATCAAACCCAGTACCTCATGCATCTTTAGGATACATTCAGACAAGTACAAAAAGCTACAGGTTCAAGGATATTCCTTCTACCATTGTATATATTAGAAAAGAGAGGTAAAAACCTAAATATCTGTTAATAAACAATAGATACATGTATATAATATAATACTACAGAACCATTAAAACGATGATATATATTAAGGAGCTGGAGATAGAACAAGGAGACAGTTCTTTTGTTAGATTATTTCCCAGGTTAGATTAAAACTTGCCAGGTTAGATTACTTCATGGTTTTTCCCAAACTGGAAGAAAAGGAAAAAAAACAACAACAAAGTAAAGAGGCAAAACCTACAAGTATTGAAAGAATATTGAAAGATATTGAAAGAATGACAACAGTGAGGGTAAAGGAGACACATAACTGGTTTACTGCACAACACACAGCAGCCAATCTTATTATAAACTACATTCCAAGAGGACAGTGTGATATATAATGTGTATAGGTTTATGACAATACCAGGAAGGATAGATGTATTTGAAAACAAGGTTCTATAAGATCCTATTTTAAATAAAACAAATATTTAGAGCACAGGCTTTAACCCACAGTCTACCATAAAGTGTGACATGGAATCTTTTTAATCAAGTGCCAATAGAAAGTTAAAAATAAAGAATTCCTAGTAATTTATTCAGTGTCACTTTTTTTTTGTACCAGGGATTAAGCCTAGGGGTGCTTAATCACTGAGACACATCCCTTGCCCTTCAAAAAAAAATTTTTTTAAAGTTGTAGATGGACACATTACCTATATTTTATTTATTTATTTTTATGTGATGCTGAGGATCGAACCCAGTGCCTTGCACCTGCTAGGTATGCACTCTATCAATGAGCTACAATCCCAGCCCCCCCAAGCCCTTTTTATTTTTTATTTTGAGGCAGGGTCTTACTAAGTTTCTTAGGGTCTCCCTAAGTTGTGAAGGTTACCTCGAACTTGTGATCCTCCTGTCTTAGCCTCCGGAGTTGCTGGGATTAGGTGTCACTGCTCTGGGCTCAATGTCATTTCTTGCCTCCATTCTGAAACTGTTTTAAATGGGCATGTTGAACTAAGAAAACAAAACTGATGCTTTCACAGGAGATGGAGTCACACTTGTGCCTTGAATGGGATCTGAAATACCCTTTTTCCCAAAGGCAAATGCTTGCAGGTCTTGCCTCTTTGTTTTTACCATTAAAGTTGCACTTGTTCACCTACCAGGGTTTATAAAATCCTATATTTAGTGTTTTTTTTTCCCCTACAACAAAATATTTGTTAAAAAGACCAGATTTGTGTGAGTGTGTCATGTGACTGTACACACAATCACGTATACTCATTATATAAAGTAAATTTAAAATGTTGATTGAAGGTTACCAAGCTGAGTATATTCTAGTTGCACTAAAATATGTATATTTCCTTTATTATTATAAAAACACATACTTCTGAAACCATCTTGACATTTCTGAACCTGAGATGCAGCTTGTAATCAGTGTCAAAAGAAACCTGCCAGCTGCTAACAGAGCAGGTGCCACCATGATCTTTGCTCATGCCCATGGGAATGTAACCACAAGTAGAAGTTAGAAGCTCATTTCACGTTCTCCTCCACTGAGCTTATGAGTTACTTAAGTTGATAGCTCCTCATGTGTCTAAATTTTAACTTACATTTGGAAAAAGAAGGAAATAAATTCTACTTTGATTCAGTAAGACACTGAAGAGTTTCTAGTTCAGAGATTATTAACTGCCATATACCTGACTGTGCTGCTGGAGACAGGAAAAAGTGTCACATTCTTTGGACTCTAAACCACAGACTTTTGAAAGATGGAACAAGTAGGTTATGACTGACTGAGGCATCATGAAGGAAAACTCAGGCACTAAGATTCCATCTGCCAAAAACTTCTGACTTTCAGGGCAGCTGGTTACTTTGCAACAATTTATAAAGCAACTCTAAAAATTCGGGGAGTTTTGACGTGTTGCAAAATTAGACTATCAATTAAAAGGGTATAAACAGGTCAAGACCACAAACATATGGTATTAAAAAGCTGAGTCACTGTGATATTAACTATAACCACTGAATGGCCAGACATGATTCAGACAAATCTATAGATTCTGAATAGGAAGCAGGTTTAGGTTCTACTTCTGATGATTATATGGAAGATAGTTATGGTTTGCACTTTGCTATCAATGGTTAAAAAACAAATTTTTTCTACATTTAACAAAGTTTGTTTCTGAAAAGTTGTTAAACCAATGGATTATATTCTATTGAATGTGTTTTTGGGATCAAGTAAATGCATGTGTGTGTGTGTGTGGACACACACACACACACACACAAGAGGGTTTTCTTCAAGAATTTTTACAAAAAACATTAAAACTGTTATCTCTACTAATCATCTCTAGAGATTATGATTTTGGAGTGGTATTTACTTTTAATTTATGCTTTTCCATATTGTTTGAAAAATTTGTTGTGTTTAAATTAATATCATGATCTAAATAAAAAACTATGATTTTCAAATTTCAATTTTTTTGTAATAACAAGGAAAACATTATCATATATTAACAGAAAATGATGCATAATCATATACTGTATGTATGATATTATAAACTACACACATATACACATATGCACATAGTCACATGACAAATATTAGAACTGAAATAAACCAAAATAACCAAAGTGTTTATGGTTATTGGTTTATAGATTATTTCATTTTCTTTGTACTTTTCTATATTTCTAACTTTTCTATAATGAACATGCATTATTTTTGTATTGTGGAAAAAAATATTATGAATAGACATTGGGAATTATTTTGGGATTTTAAATAACATTGAGGTTTCTACATTTCTCCTCTATTTCTTGATTGGTTCCTTATAGTTAAAAAGTGGGTGCTGGTAATTTTGAAAACAACTGAAAGTTTTTCTCCTGAGAGGGCAAGTAGCTGTGAATGGAGAAGCAGGAAGAAGGCTACTGCTGATGTTGGAATGCCTGTACGTCGGCTCTTTCAGCTGCGAGCACCAGGGGAATGAGCTGGGAGTAGAGTCCACAACAGGCAAAATCTTGTTCTTCCTCTTCCTGAACCCTTCTCCTCAATGATGACTGTAATTCTACCTAAGCAGCCTTGGAAATTTAGCATTGTCCCTGTTCTCTGGTGACCCTCTCCAGAAGAGCCTCTTGTGTTTTCTGGGAGGCATGCTCTGAGCCAATCAGTCATCTCTTGAGGGAGGCCATGTTGTCATTACTCTGAATAATAGATTAAGAGACTTAATTGTACATAGCAGATGCTGCCTGTGTGCTAGCAGGAAAAGAGGCCTCAAAACTGTATCTACTGTGTTCTGGTGAATTCCAGCAGAGCCAGCAGAAGAGAGGAGCAAGTCTGTAATAGCTCCTGTCTGCTGACAGCCCATGCTCTGGCAGAAATGAGGAGAAAATAGTTGAACACAGAAGGGTTATGAGCCTGAGGGCAATGGCTTATATTAATGGCTTCAAATCAATTTTTGATTTAATAAATGAAGCAATTAGTGTCAATGACTTAGCACATGGCTAGCACATATTAGGTGTTCATTAATGTTAATTATTATTTTAGGAAATGATTACATTTTATAGTAGTTAATAGCTAGCAAAGAACTTTCATAAGTGACTATCTAAAATCTGTTTGGGGTATATGTGACATTAATTAAATATATCCATTTCTGACACATTAAAGCACTTAGAAATGAGAGATTCTCCTGAGTTTTGACATCTCTTTGAACTGCTAGTATACCTTCATCAGTCATTTATGTCTTCTTGGGGTAGTCAGAGGTTCACAAAACCTCTTATTTTATTATTTTATTTATTTATTATTTGTATGGTGCCGGGGATGGATCCCAAGGCCTGGTGCAGGCCAAGCATTTGTTCTACTACTAAGCTATACTCCCAGCCCATAAAAAGAGTACTTTGTAATGGAGTTTGCAGCCTCAATCTGTTCACAGCTCTTTTACAAAGACTCATAATAAACCCAAAATTTATTGTCTGACAAAGACTCAGAACCATCCAAAGGTAAGGTAGTTACCTATGGGATTCTTAGCTTTCCCAGTCTTTTCTCCGGAAGGTTAGAATTACTTGTCAATTCTGTTGAAATGCCTTAATTCATAAATCACATAGTAAAAAAAAAATGGTTATAGATTTCTTCCTGGCATTACTGAGCCCTGAGGAGTGTGCCTCCAGGCAGATCATTAGTCTCTACAAGTCAGCTCTAATGATGGGCTTTTGGGGAGGTGGGTGTACGCAGCAGGGAGGTGGAACTAGCTTCTGAATCATTCTCTTGCTCCCTAAGCAGCAAAGATCACTTGCTGTCGCTGCTAACAAGGAGGGAGGCCAAATGTAGCAATTCACAGCAAACCAAGTTGTCAGCTGTTTTATGTGGAAGCAAACTAGAATGCTCCAAGTCTGCAACTCAAACTCCTCCCAAGGAGGCAAGAACTGCGTAGAACAGAGCCATGTTATCAGCAAGGGATATATGAAGTTGGATAACAGCGGGACAAGTTAAAATGTATGAAGTGCTTTGCATACATTGAACTCAGAGCTTGGCTTTAATCTTGATCACAACTCTATAAAACAGATGCCATTATCATTCCAATTTCCACAGGAAGAATCTAAGTCTTAGAAGGGTTAAGTGACTTGCCTAGTTACACATTGTGCTGAGGCTATAGCTGAGATTCAGAAGACTTCTTCACCCAGAGCCCCTGCACACACACACACATACACATACACAAACATGTACACCTCTCTGATATGAAATATACATATTTGTTAAATATATATATCAAATCTATCTATCTATCTATCTATCTGATCCACATGTTTTTCTTTATATGTGTGTGTGTATGTGCATGTGCTGATATTAATTGGGACTCTATTCCTAATATCTAGGATAAAACTCCATATGCCCTTAGGGTAACATTTACACATTATGTAAGATTTTATTTTAGCATTCTAATGCTCTTTAAACGTTTAATATTGCTTCTAAGTAGACTCTACATAGATTTAAATGTCACTCTTAATTTTTTCCACCATCCTAACTTCTAGACCAGGTTAGGACTTCCTGTAAACACTTCCAAAGTACCCTATCTCCTTCATTATAATATTTTCCACACATTATTGTAACTCTCTGTTTAATGTCTGGCTTCTTATTTGTTCACTGCTGTATCCCAATGCCTTTCACGGTACCACACACAAAGGAGACTCTCAATAAACATGGATTGAATGAATACAGATATGATATCAGTCTTGATAGCACTGTTATCAAGGCCTTATTCTACTAATTTGTTCATTATTTTCTCTATCAGATATCTACCTGTTGCAGTTAATAAATATGGAAAATCTTAACATTTTGCTCTGCTTCCATCACAATCAACACACATACATAAACATATAAAGGCAACCTTGACTCCTGATAAATATTAGCAATATGTGCATGGCTAGGCATATGCATGTTGAACCTACCAAGAGGAGTATTTTAAGTCAAACTGTAATAATCAGAGTTATAATAATAATAATCATGGGAAAGTGTTCTTATTTTAAACATGACATACATCTGTAAGATTACTGTGGGGATAGGTAGAGAACTCTGAAATTTTTCTTAAGTGCTTCTTATTTGTTCACTGCTGTATCCCAATGCCTTTCACAGTACCACACACAAAGGAGACTCTCAATAAACACAGATTGAATGAATACAGATATGATATCAGTCTTGATAGTACTGTTATCAAGGCCTTGAAAAAAGAAAAATGAAGTATTATTTTTTACATGAAAAAAGAAAAATGAAGTATCCTTTCAAAACAATTTTCTTTATATTCAAGAGCAAAGAACTAAAAAATTATTCAATTATTTTTAAAGTTTCTATGTCAGTGCATTTTTATTTGTGGTATACAAAAGTATTAAAGATTCCTTCAGTCTCATATTATGTTCAGACATTCACATCTGGATGTCAGGAAGAAGAAAATGAAAAAAAGAAACAAAAAGGTTACAAAATAGATGAGAAGAATATGCAACCAAGGGAGGACAAAAGACTGATGCCCAGCAGTTAGGAAAAAGCAGCAGAGTATTATCTCTGTGTTGACTTGTATCTGCAGTAACAGCTACAGAGCAGCTGCATGATGGCTGCAGTCTTCTTATCTGGTGCTCTGATGCTCTTCTCAATGCCACTGGGTTAGCCAGCCAGGCATTGCTTCAGCATGAACAGCTGAGAGATGCCAGATCAGCAAGAGAGCTGGGAAATTAATACATGCTATGAAAACAAAATCACTGAATATCACATTCAAACTTCATCACTAGTATTTCTGTGGCTATTTAAAGAAAACCCCAAAGGAGCAAGATCCAAATTACAATGTGTTCTTTTTCTGATATGGCTGCTGGATACAGGCATGCCCCAAGGTTATACCCTCGCTTCTCTGGATGCAACCATTAACTCCAAGCAGGTGACTTCCAAGATTCTACGGTCTATTTCCTCCTGGACTCATACTACATGGATGCTGAGTGGAAAGCCTCACACCTGAGAGGTCTTCAGGGCAAGTCATGACCCAAACTCTTGCTCTTGCCAATTCCTTTTTCCTGGTTGACAGCAGTACCCTCTCTCCTCAGGATGGAAGTTTCAGAATCAACTTTCATTCCTTTCCACACTCGATTAGATGTCTCTCCATGGCAATGGTAAGTCAGTCCCTTAACACTTCTGGGCTGATTCAGTAAGTCATACCACTTCCCTTCTCATAAGCGTCTCAAAATTCAACCTTGTGTAAGGATTGACATTCTATTCCTTCTTCCAATATGAGGATGAGCTTTAGGATATGAGTTCTACATACCTTTCATGATCATCTCTTCAAACACTCCTTGCCTCTCCAGGGTTTACTATCCCTGACCACAACCTACATATTACTCACTCTAAAACCTCTGCTCAGTTGTTCCTTCAAACTGGAACACTTTCAGCATTCTGAAGTCCTCCTTTAATATAGGTAGGCTCAGATCTCTCTTTCTCCAAAAAGTTATCACAGACTCTTCCCTGTTAAAAATCTTTCATACTTAAAAAAAATGTTTTTGTAATTCTGCTGTGGCATATGCCACAGAATGCCTTTTATAAGAAGAGCTAAATGCTACCATTTTTTTTTTTTTTTGGTGAATTCTTAGAAGGCAGAATTTTACCTCCATAATTCCCACGTAGGAATCTGCAGCTATAAAGAGCTCATGAAATAGTTGTGAATACTGAGTGCAGGAAGGAGCTTGCGAATCCTGTTTAACTTTTCTTTTCTATTAAGCATTGGCCCTATTTTCTTTTTCTTGCTCTAGGGAACTATTTAACTTACACTTCAGGTTTCACAATCATCTACACACAGCAACCCTTCTTTTTGGAGCCGAAGGTTTTGTGCTGTTCTTGATTTCCCCAATTGGTAACTCTAGGAAGATGAGAAATTCAGTTCTATAATCTGTTTCTGCACCAGCAAGTGTGACACACACTCATGTCTTCCTCTCTGGGAGTGAAAGCCTTCAATCTCGAGCAAAGCAAAGGCTGTCCAATATTTATATATTTTCAATCTATTGGATTATGTTCACTTTCTTTTGACTGAGAGATACTTCAGAAGCCTACATTTTAGATCAGTATGATCATAAGAGGAGGAAAACACACCATTAATCAATCTGATGGAAATACAAAAAAAAAAAAAAAATCCTTAGAGTTAATAGATCACATCAGAGCCAAGGAAAATACAGAAATATAAAAACGACATGCATCTTAAAACAGCAACTTCTTGGTTCCTTTTCTTAATTCTCCTCACTCGGTTGGAATGTAACCTCAAAGTGTGAATTAAAAAAAAAACTTTCATAATATATACTACCTTAATAAAAAAATAGATCTATTTTATTTGATTTTCCTAATTGTCCTGCCAGGTGAGCATTATATCTCCCATTTTAAAGATGATAAAGCAGAGAACAAACTTTATTTCTGAACTCTACCAGCACACTCTACACATGCTCCCCGGGAACTCTTCTGAACGCCATGTGGCTCCTCCAGGAACCACCAACCAGAAATTTCCTCCTCTGGCACCTCCCCAACCAATGTGAACTCTTCAGGAATCCCCGCGAGAGCTCAACTGGAACTCAACGGGAACTCCGTGAGAACTCAAAAGTCATCATCTTAATGGCTCCCTGGCGTCACCTCTCAACCACTACTTCTGGCAAAAATGCCATGCGTCATCCCGACTCGGCTGTGGCCCTCAACAGACTTGGACATTACAGTGATTAGGAACATCACTTCCATGACTCAACATGTATTCCCTTGAACTGATTTAATCACTGGATAGCTGTGTTACCGCAAGAAAATCACTTAAATACTCAGAGCTTCTGTTCAGTCATTTCTAAAATGTGAGTAATAATATTGCCTGCTTCATATGATTGCTGTGTAGGTTACACGAACCTCTGGATGTGGAGCAATTAGTTCAGAATGTGGACATGTTGAGGCCTCATCAGTTACACATAACATCAGCATTACTGACAAGGACAGCAGCACCCAGAGGAGTCCAAATAGTATGCTATTTTCACTAACCATGGCAATATGCTTTGTGTAGAAGCTGCCATCTACTCTTAAGCTTTCCCATGGGTATTTAATCAGAGAACTATGACTCGAGTTTGGTACATTCATGTCCTCTCTAGAAGGGCATTCACACAGTTCAGCCTAGGCATGAGGGAACACTGTGCTGGCTTTCTACTCTATCACCAGCATGACAATTGAACATTAAATATGAATGGGACAGTGCATTGGCCATAAAGAGCAGGAAACCAAGTGGAATATCAGCATGTTGGTCAGTCTCAGGGATTTTTAGAACCAGGCAATTGGTCTACTATAAAGAGGCAAAGTGAATACTGAAACCCTTGGCAGATCTCCCAGAATGTTCTGCAGGTTCCATTCCACTTAATCATTTTAACATGTGCAGGCTATCTAAAAAACCTTCTGTGACCTTCTGTTATTTTAATGGAAAGGACAATACATTTCATCTTGACAGTACAGTTGACATACAAAAACTCAGTGTTTTTAATGAAGACAGGCTTACATCACTTTTTAAAAAAAATTTTTACATAATTTCTCCCACCTGATTTGTACTTAATGCTGTAAGTTGCACAGAGTGGGAACAGAATAACTTTGCTGTATTTTTTATTAAAAAGGGCCTTCAGTGAGGGTTGGCACAATTAATAGGCACCTCCAGCCCAAAGAACACTGTGAATTTAGCAGAGCAGAAAACTGGTCACACTTTCCAATTTTCCTTTTTTTTAGTGACTCTTGAGTGAATGAATCAGTATCTTTGTGATGTGAAGAATTTGACCTGTTCACCTCTTGCTGGATTTTTTTAATCACTGTGTCAGTATAAAGAAAGTCATAAGCTCTCTATGATTGTGACTTACCCATGACTAAGTCTCGTGCTTCATTCTTACCAATAACCTACCTAAGGAACCCAGAATGCAACTAGGTTGCAGAACTCAAAATGCAAAAAAAAAAAAAAAAAAAAAAAGTCAAAGAGAAAAAATAAATCCAAAAAGAAGAGAAAGTAGATAAGATAAGGGTAGATAAGATTAAGGTTCTGTGTAGAAAAGATTAAGGTTCTTCCAGAAACGTATTTTTCCCTCTAATCTGGATAGAGAAAAGAACTTGAATGTAGGCCAGGACAAGCAGGCTGACTGACAATGGAAGGACGGGAGAAAAGATGTCACAAGGAAGTCAAAGACTCTCTGGTATCAGGGAATTAGAGAGTGGGAAAGTTAGGAGATGAGGGAAAAACCACTGCTATTGCAGAGACTGAATGAGATTACGTATGCCCAGTAGGTCAAGAGGGAGACAAGTGGTCTCCAGCTTGGTGGCCTGAGTTTAAATCCTTACCCTGCCTCTGCCTGGGGTGTGATCCTGGGGAAGTTACTTAGGTTATCTGCATCTCAGTTTCCTCATCAGTCAGTTGTACAGATGAAATGAGATCACAGAAGGAGAGTACTTGGAGCTGCTGGTTGCTTGTCTGTAATCTCAGTGACTCAGGAGGTTGAGACAAAAGAACTGCAAGTTCAAGGCCAGCCTCAGCAACCTAGAGGCCCTAAGGAACTTACTGAGACCTGTCTCAAATAAAAACTAAAAAGGGCTGAGGATATAGGTCAGTGATAGAGTGTCCATGGGTTCAATATTGGTACTGCAAAACAAACAAAAATAAACAACAAAAACCAACCTACTCTGAGTTAGGGGCTTCCATATCAAGGGCCATGTTGCAAACAAAAATTCACTGTTGAGAGAAAGAACTACACCCATCTTACCTACTAATACATCAGCCATTCTGAATTTTGCATTAAGTCACACATCCAAGTTAGAAAAATTGTTGTTGTTACTAACTACAAAGTTCAATACTGAGATTCTATTCTCTAGAGTAGAATATTTTGTGGCCAACTTTTGGTCCCAAGATAAATTTAGCTATGTAGGGCCTTATGTGATAAATCGTTATGTGTAAGATGACCCATTAATTAAGTTAAATTACTAAATTTTTTCCCTATCATTAGTTTAAGTGGGCCATTTTGTCAAATTCCTGGTCAGTTAAGATGATTTAGAACGTAAGTATAAAACAGAAGATTGATAATCTTTAATTCAGCATATAAGAAATTACCAAGCACTGATCTTAGAAATTTAACATTATATTTAGGTTTATTTTCTTTAATTGTCTAAAATGGTGAGTCCAGCAATAGTTGCCATTTTACCTCAGCCCTTCCAATTGCAATTTCAGATAAACATCAAACCTACTAAAATACTTCTTTTTTTCTTTTCCCCATTTTTCTGATTCCCTATGTAGCATATCTTGGTTTAAGAATCTATACATATATTTATATACATATTTACAGTTCACGATAATGGATATTGCATCTGGAATACTAATTATTGAAAACAAAGTTAAACACCAGTACCAACCAAAAATGTCCTTGTGTGTGGTTTTTTTTTTTTGCATTGCATTTGCAAAAGAGTTAGGAAAGAGCCCTGGTTGACAGAGTTAAGTTCCTTGGCCAAGAAAAGATGTGCTTTGTTTGGTTTTGTTTTTCAATTGACCACAGTTAATCAAGTGACTAATATTAATGACAAATTAGCTTTCATTTGTTTAGTATGAAAAATTGAAGATCACATACAAACCAAATTCATGTCATATTTTCTTCAGTATTTAATATTTTCTAAGTAGCCATAGCATTTTTTAGATAGAAAGCGTTTGGATAGAACTAGGATTTTGAAATGCCAGAGGGGACCAAAGGATGAGGAGAGTATAAATTAGAATCTGGTATGCTATGTACTACTTACCTTCAAAAGTCAAATAAAACTTTCCTCTGTCAAACCAAACGAGGGAAGGCTGTTCATTCTCTGTATGGCCAGGAGTTGAAGCGGGATGGGAAAGGTTAAGGAGAGGGAGAGAGAAGGACACAATGTGAGTTACAGAGCAGGTCATTAATCTCACTACAGGGAAGGGCAGAGGCACTGCATGCCATTAGCGTGCAGGAAAAAGGGAAGACTGGCAATCCATGTTTTGTCTTTTTTTTTTTTTTTAGTTGAGGGATCAGAAAGCAGAAGCAAAGCTATGGCAGCCTAAGGGGATGGGAACGGTTGTTGGTAGCTTGATACTTGGTGCTCGTGTGCAGGGAGCAGAAGTCTTCCTGGCCATGCAGGGGCATCAGCATATTTTAACTGCACTAATTTTGGGCAAATTGTCATTCAGCAATTGCTGTATCCATTTCATCTTCAATGTCACCCCCTTCCATGTTTCCAGAAAGATAAACCGGTATTATGGGTCGTATAAAACATCAGCTTAGCTTTTAAATGACAACAGCATTGCATATCAATTTAAAGTTCATGGAAGATGTCTCAGGTCTTCCATCCCCTCTGCTGGAATCACCTTAGGCATCCAGACACAAACCACCCTTTACCACTGTACCAAAGAGAAAAACGAGATTACTGATGCTGCTCTATTATGTTTTAAATTAAAAAGCAGTTACTGGACACGTAATTCTGAATGGTGAGCAGTTAAATTATTCCTTCCTTTGAAAAGTCACAAAGCAATGGCATCTCACCTTTCTCAAACCTTTTCTCTGAGAAACTGTCATGCAACCTGCTGCTTTTCTTAATATGTCCACTTACAAACGTTTCCGTGGCATGAGTTCCACAATGAACACTAAATGTACAGGGTGCATCTGAGAGGCACTGGACACTCATGAGGTGAGGAGCATGTCCATGAAGTTTCTAGCATTCAGATGGATAATGGCTTGGATTTTAAAAGTCTACATATCTAGAGATCACTCAGCTAGCACCATACCTGCAGGCGTGTCACAGCGCCTTTCAAACGAGGGGAGTTTGTCATAAAAAACATCATCTTCTGACACTACGAACCAAAAAAACATAAACAAATGGAAAACAAAAACACAAATACAAATCCCAAATGAAATCAAACAGCACACTCTACTGACTGAAACTCAGGAATGATTTTCATGAAAAAAAGGAAATATAACTTAAAACACTGGGATTGTGGTTAAGATATAGAAAGTGATATGCTTATTTGATAATGATTCTATGAGAAGAAATTAAAATTTAAAAAATGTCAGGTTTTGGCATCTGTGAATTGGTCAGCTCCAGGGAAGAAGTCACACCTGCCCTTCTCAGGGAGTTGTTAAAGGCATCATAAATAATTGATTTATGCAAGTGTATTTCACTTCAACACAATTCTCAAGTGGCCAGACATATGCTTATCAACCAGAGCCTCCTGACAGGACCCTGACAGCTCAACAGGCCTGCCCAGCATGCACATTCCCCCCAGGAAAAGAGAAGCTAGCTTTTAACATGACCATAAAAAGCAACCGTATAAATCCCAGGTCTCTGAATGAACTATCCCATTTCAGCCTCATCAATATCCAAATTCAATTTGCCTTGCACCTGCCTTTGATAGTTATGGACCATTAATTTTCAACAGCATTATCATAATTTCATCTTTGGCTATGATATCCAGCTGTGGATAAATGTCTTTGTTCATTGACCACAACATTATGCTCTGAACATCAACTGTTTTAGATGTTTACATGGGATCTCTCTCTCACCAACTAACAAAAACAGGTAATTGGGGTTTTTGTTTTAAGTGATTAAGTTAACAAAATTGCCACAGGTCTTACAGGTAGTATTACAACTTTAGTACAAAACTGAATAAAAATCATAAGAAGACCAGGAATGAACAACCCTATCTACAATGCAAAGTTATAGACATGAATGAGGGTAGAAAAAATACTCCATCAACAATAATGTTTGGGAAAAATATTCTATTAGCTTGCTGCCTGACTTAGGGAATAAGGTAGGGAAGCTTTTTTTTTTTTTGGTCAATTCTTAAGGTTTTAGGATATCACCTTTCAATCAGTTTTTATTATGCATAAAATTTCTTTGGTAGCTATAACAAGTTGATGCAACTCCTATAATAATATCCATGGGTGCACAGGAGACAGGTTATTCCAAAAAAATAGCATACTTTTTCTTTTTTCTTTGTTTTAAGAATTGCTAACCACTTTGGAGGAAATGTTTTATGTTTTAGATGCTATGGTTCTGATACTGAATACAAATCAATTTTGCTCAAAGTTCTGGACTGAAGGAAGCATCCAATCCATCTGATACTCCCTTTGGTATCCAGACATGATTACTTTTCATTCATTTCAGTTTTACTTGCATGTTAAAGATACAATTTAAAATGTATAACTACCAGTGAAGGAATATAACTTCAAATTAACAGGGAAGAAAAATTATCTTTCCCATGGTCTTTTTGCAGTGGGGTCCTAAAGAAGATATTTGCAAATATCTTTTAAAAAAAACTACTAACACCCTCAAAAATAAGACACATGTAATAAAAATTAGATATTTATTATTAGAGATAACTCTCTTCATTCTCTTTCTGAGTTAGTTTTTTATAATAGAATAATTTTATACATATTCCCTGTCCCCATAATATTAACAGAATTTTCCCCAAAATCATACAATGCAGGTCCTATGAGCCTTTTGCAGTTCAAAGATTTTACTGTATTCCATTGTTAAGTTATCGGAAATTGGAATGGGTCTTATAATTAATATAAGAAAGCATTGCATCTTAGTTCAATTGATAGCTTTTTCTCTTTTTAGTCATATATAAAACAATGGTGTATTTTTTAATCAGGGGTGTCTTAAATGTGATGACATACAGTTGAGTAGGAGCTCTTTATCATTCAAATTTCTGTGACATTACACAGAAAGTTTCATTTTGCTCATGTAGCATTAGATATTTTTTGGTCGATTCTTAAGGTCCCAGATATCATCTATCAATCAGGTTTTATTATGCATAGAGTTTCTTTGGTGGCTACTTGATATTCATAGCTCTTATGAAAAATTCCATATCGAAAGCTCTTTAGGGACATTTTCTTGCATGAATTTTATTGTAGAAAGTTTAGACCTGCTCTTAAAAATTTAGTTCTTGGATAACTTTAAACTTGGGCTCATTGGTTTCCATATACTTGCCCAGATTATGGTTCAAGTGCCATAGGAAATGTCAAAAAGGTATTGCAGTGATGGGAGGAAATGTTGAGCCATCAACTTCAGGGAATTTGCTGCTGAAATTTTCAAGTTCCCCTAAGCCATTTGACTACATTACATTAACATTCCAAGTCAGCCATGATGAGACCCGTAGTGCTGACCAGCCAAAGCACATCCTCCCCAGAAAGAGAAATAGCAACACACAAGAAGCTGCCGGTCAGTTACTTAATAATGCATTTACTTCAGAGAGAAGAGGCTGTCAGGCGACCCACAGGAGGAGGAAATAAGGAACAGGAGGATGAGGAATTCAGTGGGTAGATGAAGCCAAATAAAAAACAAGAGAACCAAACAGATTAAATCAGTATGATCCTCAGTCGTGAATCAGTAAGACCAGCCTGTTCCGTGGCCATTGTTTTTAACCCCTCCATGGTTTAATCTTGAAAGAACACATACTAGATACATTAAAAATCGAAGTCACTGGGTCAGGATTTGAGATTTCAGCAGCAGGGAGTATAGAAATACATTGTCTAGAACATGGACACAGTTCAAATTCCCTGTGTGTTCAGTTTTCTCTATGAATCAAAGTGAGTTGAAAGAACACACTATCTAGTTCATCTGAGGTCACCTGGGGGATGCTGTAGGAGTGACAGTTCACTCTTACTTTCTTCTCTGACCAACAAGGCAAATCACATGGAATGGGTGGAATGAATGATCTTGACAAAACAAAACAGTAGAATGGGAGTGGTGGTGTGTGTGTGTGGGGTGGGGGAAGGCTGTAGCAATCAAGGAGATTAAAGAAAGAGTGAAAAAAATAAGGTTAGGATGTTACAAACAAACAAACAAAACCAGAAAGAATGAGCTAACAGGCATTGAAAAACAGAAGCCCTGAATTGCCCCAATTGATGCAGATGAGGAAAAGATGTGGTTATATAAAAACGTTAATATCTCACAGAGAACTGCCTATATTTTCACCACAATTGAAGGATTCTTTGGGGATTATCTGATGCAACATATAGAGTCTGAAGTGGAGTTGAAGTTACTTTTGGGGCCCTTAAGAAGCCCATCTTAACCTATTTCTCTGAGAAAATAGGCAGTTGTCAAGAATTAAGTCTCAGACTTTGATTCACCTACTTCTCACATGGGGAAGTCTGCAGGGTGCTCTTCCTTGGGTAGCAGAAGGAATTCACTTAGCTTTGGTTGATGATCCTCCTAAGCGATGCAGGGTGGGGGTCAGCTGGTTTATATCAGCTGGGTGAATTGGAGGGGAGTTTAGAGAACGAAGGAAGACAATGAGGAGGAAGTTGTATGGGAGAAATGGAATGGGAAAGCCCCAGGTCAGAGCCACCATGCAAGAGGGGAGAGGCAGCAGGAGCTGATGGGAGGTGGGAAGAGACGGAGTCCAGCCTTGGGCAGAGGGAAGATGCTCCTGGCAAAAGGAGGCAGTGAAACCTGAGAAAACCATCCAGCTGAGCAGCCATCCTCAACTCTTCACTCTCATCACAGCATAAGAAAAGAGGCACAAGGCATTTACAGAAAATGCCAGCAATGACTAATTTTTCTGGGAAAATTGACTGCATATCATTGAGAAGCACTAGGAAAAAAAAAAAGTCAAAAAAATTTTTTTTCTCATGTCTCACCATGCCAATGTTCATACCATTCTTCAACCTTAGGACAACCAAAAATGATGAAAAATGAAACCTTCAAGATAATAAAAGTTCTAATTTTTGCAATTTCTGGTGTGGTTACACAGTTAGAATTTAAACATTTCCCCTCAAAGGAGACTGCTTTTTTTTTTTTAAAATAAGAAATATCTAAATTACAGGACCTTCCTTGGCAATTTCTTCTCTGCTTTGTGAATAGCTCTGTATGGAATAGCATAAGACCATCCCTGCAAAATACAGGTTTTCACATTCTGCTTATTGGTTCATTGGCGTAGGTCAAGTCTTTTGCCTCCTTTGCTGAGAAGGTTGCTTGGAAAAGAAGAGTCAGGTGACAGTAGCAAAACACACAGCAAAACAATTTCAACCAGAAACACAGGGCCCAGGGAGTTCAGATCAGAAAATGTAGCCAGTCAAAACCACAAACAGATGAAAAGAGAGGAGATAATTTTTACCAACTGTGGGAGTGGTGGCTGCACTCAGGGAATTGGTTGACGATATTGAAGAAGTGCTTTCAGCCCGGGCTAAGGGTGCTATCGGAGGAGGGCTGGAAGAGTGTATGGGTGGGCTAAAGGGTCTGGGCTGTAGGGAGAAGAAAAGAGATAACAGGTTAGATACAGGTTGTAGCACTTTGATTCCATATTGTTAATGTCTCCCAGTCTCGGATAGGACAACTTGGGTCCCTAAAAGCAAATGGACAGCCTGTTTTCACAGTAAAATGGGCTTTATCTACACAACAGCTTGGGGAATGGAGCTGGAGGAACCATAAACCCCAGCATGGCTGAACTCAGTGGGTATGCTGGGGTTAGAGAGGCAGGGATGTGTGATGGGATCTGTGATGTGTCCTTTCACGCCCTCAGGGACTGAGCAGGGAGCATTGTAAAAGCTCACTGGAATCTAAAGATGTTTAAATACAAAATCCTGGACTGTGCTAGCAAGCCAAGGACTGTGTACAGATGCCAACAAAATTGACCTCTGCCATAGTCTTGTCAGTTGTTTGCACAGATTGCTTTCCACACCTCAGCCTTAAATCACAATGCTAGAGACTTCCGCAACAAATCCATGGGCTGATGCTTTCTTCTTTACATTCACATAATGAACCTACCATCAATAATGTATCTGTATTCTAGGGTCAGAAACCAGCACTTGCTCTCTCTTGGAGTTTTCCAATAATCAGAAAAATATTGTGAAAGGAAACACCTCTCATTTCTAAAGGGATTAGCAAGAATTGATCCTGACTATCTGCATTGACATCCATCCCTGTAGCAGAGGTGAGGGCCCGAGCATCCTACTATCATTTCAGATGTTGGCTTGAAAGATGGTAGACCCTTGAGGAGGGTTGAAAGATACACCCATGGGCAGTGACTATCTTTCAGTGACCACCTGAAAAGGTCATTTGGGCAAGAGTTCTTGTGCTTAGACCTGAAGTTGAGGCTATTGGTGATCTCTCCATCTGATGATGAGCAAGCTAGGGCAGAGGGGAACATACCACATCTCCGACTCCAGGTTTTCCTGGAGGTAGCTTTGGCCTGGAGGGAGGCCGGGGAGGAGGAGGAGGTGGAGTGGTACTGCTGCAGGGAACCAAGGGAGTGGCTGGTCGAGCAGGAGATGATGCACCTGGAAAACACGCCAGTGTTAGAAATGGCTGGAAGCAGAGGTGACCAGAATGCTGTCATCACAATACAATGCCTGGACGTTTGGTTTGGCAGTTCTACGCTAAGCACTGTAGCACACATTTTTTTTCTTTTTCTTTTTTTTAATAAAGAAAAAATGTATTCAGTTGAACTATGGTTGATGGCAGAAGCTGAAGCTCATTACCTTTTCTTGTCATGTGACACCCAGTGAAGGTAAATCCGTTCATTACTCTATCTGTGACAGAAGATGAATTCTTATGACTCTTGCCTGGTGGTACTTTTCATTTTAATCACATACACACTAAACTTGGGGTAAATTCTCTGATTTTTTTTTTGAATGACAAAAAATAAAGGTTAGAACTTAAAGGAAGAGGAAGATGAATGATTTTCTACATTATATTTTTCTTTTTTAAGCAGGGGTAAGAGGATTATGCTTTTGACTGTGAATCAACATATGGGCACTAACTTTATTAATGTCCCCAAACACTTGAAGTAAGCAAAGGACAAAATATAATAAAGAAAATTAGATGATGCATGAATTCTTTGTGTTTTGAATCACAGTAATAGAAACACCAAATTCAGAGAATTTTGTGAACTCTGTTCAGTAATGTCAACGTAGAGTGTGTGTCCCTGATGATTTTCATAGTCGTTTTTTAAAGAGCCTCCTGGATTTACTTTTCTGGCTGTCCATGACAAGCATATGAAACACAGATGACACACAGAGGCTGGCATGCACACCAATCAGCACACCAGAGGGGTTCTCTGCACTCAAGGGCCCATCTTCAGTCATATGCCTGGGAGCATGGGAAAACTATTTGGCCAAAAACCTCAGGAAAGTCAATCAGTATTTCAACAGTTCTTGTTCAGAAGTTTTGCCACTTCCGATTAGAACATAGAGAACTATCTCAAGAAAATTCTAAGAAATCCCGCCCCAGTAAAGTATCCATGCTTCTTTCCCACTACCCACCCCAACCTACTACCTCCCTCGAAACACACCACAAATCTGTGATCTCTGGAGTTCTAAACCAGCATCTCAATCTCTAGATCTTCACATCCACGAAGTCCTTTGAAGTTGAGTAGCAAAACCCATCATTTCAGAATCTGTTCTCATTTGAGGATAGCCTTGGGAGTGAACCTTGCTTCTTGTTTAAACAATCTGAAATATTGAGTATGTTTCTCTGTACTATTTATTCTGAATTTATTCTGCAGTATTTATTCTACATTAGTGTGAAATCCTATTAGTTATTGTTGCCACCTCTTCTCTATGCCATCTGTCCCCACCACTACCACCTACTGTATGCTTACTTCTACTGAACTCTCCCTTTATATTTTATTGGGCCGGGATCTATGCTAGGTGCTTTACATTTATTACCTGATCCCTATGGTAAGCTTTGGAGGTAGGTACTGGTAGCATCTCAATAAAAACAGAGGCTCAGAAATATTTAGTAACATGTTCAAGATCATGGCACTTAAAGGGTATATTTAATTCCAAAGCCCAAGCTCTTATAATGTTGGAAAGACTGTGGAGTCCCACATTTTGCATAAAATCTGTGCTTATTTTTACATGGTCAATTTGTATATATCTCTCTCAATGTAAATGTTCTCAGTCTCTGATTAATGTTCTCTTTTTAAAAAAATGGAGTATGTTTGGACAAGTCCCAGTCCAAAGTTTTGATTTGAATATTGTGTTAGTAGATTTGCACCCACGAGGACTTCAGAAGATAGAAATGACAGCAGAGAGATGGGAAATAAACCTTGAAACAGTGGAGTCTGTGTCAGGAAGTCTTAGGGAACTCTTTTTTTTTTAATGATGGAGAAAGGGGTTTCTATTCAGCTTTGGGAAAACCTTCTATAGAAATGGTCCAAATGTTTCTCTGTGGGTCTATTTCTAAGAAATAGTCTTCTGAATCAATCCTAAGAAAAGGCTGGCTTTTTATTCTTTCCTTCCATGTTCCAGAAGAGAAATTTAAAAATCCTCTCTCAGTAATGCTCAGGAAAATACTGAGGGGCTGTGGAATACTGGGTGGAGAGTCCAAAGGTCTGAGTTCCTGCCTGGCCATCTCTCCTTATCTGTGGGATCTTTTCTTCTCTGGGCCTCAGCTTCCCCCATTTAAAAAAATAGACATTGTTCTACTTACAAGGTAGTTATAACAGGGAAACTAAAAATGCTTATGAAAGTGTTTGCTGAACTATAAAATGTTACACAACAGAAGGCAATAGGTCTTGATGATGATGGTAAAGAGTATTTTTTGATAAAGACACAACTAAAAAGTAAAGAAAAAAGTGTTAATTGCTAATTAAAAATTTATTGTTTTCCTTTTCCTTTATGGATACTCCCATTTAAATCACTTTTTCTTTACTGAATCTATATAATTGATTTATTGTGCATTTAGAAGGAAAATAAGAGAATATGTTAAAAGCATTTAAAGGATATTTGGATTAACACCTTGCCTGAGGGACCCTGAGGCTCAGCAGACAACACACAGGGCCTGGGGTGATTCCACAGGTGACCCAAGGCTTTACAAGCTTTTGTGAGGTTGTTGGTGTTTTAAGGGTGTAGATGGATAATATTTATACCTCCCTAACCTCTTGGATTTTCAATTGTACTTTGATTTCCTTCTTGGGTAGTGTTTATTCCCAAACACGATTCAGAAAATAAGTTGGACAACGCCACTGTTTAAGATGCAGTGTTTAAGATGTTAAAGTTAAGGTTTAACTTTAACAATTACACATCCATTGAGTTTTGTGAGTTAACAAAAGTTGGAAACAATTGTTATGCTCTTGATCCATTTGCTGTTCTTGATGTGATGTTTCAACATAGTTTCTTTGGTAACCATTGAAAACCAAATATCTATAGCTTCAACTTTGACTTCTTATGTGTCCAGATGGTGCGGGGGACAGTGAAGGCAGCTGGGGGAAGTGGCAGAAATACAGGCTATGGAATCCAACAGATATGGGGCCAGATCCTGGCTCTGGTACTCATTAGCTTTGTGACCCTGGCCAAGTTACCTCTGGGCTTGTTTCCTTATCTGCAAAATGAAGCTAATGTACCAATGATATTACTGGGAGAATCAAGTGAATTAAAATACATGTACTTTGAAATATGGAAGAACTAAATGACCTTTTCCAAATTCTTTTTCTTAGGACACAATTACACAATTTCTTTGGAAAAAAGTATTAAGCATGTATGGGAATGGTTATATACTATATTTTCTTTTTTCTCCTCCTTTGGTAATATACACAATTAAAAGCTCTAAAACAGAACTCTCCAATAGAGCGTTCTGTGACGACGAAAATGTTCTAGAACACTATGTTCAATAATAGCACTAGTCACAGGTAGCCACTGAGCACTTGAATCATAGCTACTGTATCTAAATAACTGGATTTTATGTTAATTTAAATTTGTTATGATTATGGGTAAAATAACTACATGTGGCTGGTGATTTCTTAGACATCATTGCTCTAAAAAGACTTGCAGTTAAGAAATGTATATTTTGGTTAATTCAACCTCTGCATCTCAAACTGTGTGTGTGTGTGTGTGTGTATGCGAAATTGTAAATAACTTTTTAAATTCTGCCCCCGCCCAGTACTAAAATTTCAATTCCCCCTGGATTGAAATTGAACCCAGAGGTTCTCTACCACTGAGCCATTCCCCAGCCCTTTTTGTTTTTTAATTTTGAGACAGGGTCTAGCTAAGTTGCTGAGGCTGCCCTCAAATTTGGGATCCTACTGCCTCAGCTTCCTGAGTTGCTGGGATTGCAGGCATGTGTCACCACACCTGTTATGAATAACATCTTTTAATATTTCATGAGTTGGAAAATGTTTCTCTGAACATCTTCACTTGACGAACTCCTTTCTTTCCTATCCAAACCTGTTGAAGGCCAATAAAATTTATTTTCCCTTCTGTCCCCTGGCACACAATCAACATGGGAGAAGAGATAGCCTTTGCCAAGAATCAGCATCTATATTCCAATAAAGCACTATTCTGGCCAAACTAGGTATTTATAACTTTTTGCCATAAGGAAATTAAAGTTCTTGGAGCAAATTCTTTACTTCCCACTGTGTTTCAACAGCAGGTAGCACTTCTGCTTCTCACAGCTTGGTTAGGACACCCTAGGATGTGAGAATAATGGTACCCACTTAAAATCAGTTAAAGAAGCGCAAGAAAGTTAGTCCCATCAGGATGTGTTATAAAAGGCAGGTAATGAGAAGCATCATTTTTCTTTAAAGCATGAAGCTATACATTCTATTATTGTAATCCTAAAATTCTATTTTTGACAGTTTGTGTATATTCATCAATAAAAGATTAACCAGCAAATAAACTGGGACTTAATTAAGGGAATGATGGTGCAACGTTTTATTTATTTATGGGCTTCATAGGACCAGATCAATTTCCTACTTGAAGATTCAATCCTTTTAATGCCAGCAAAGTATAGCTTTTTCCAGACCCATTATTAAGAATTTGTAGTCTTTACTGGTAACCATATAAAATAATTTCAAATAAGGCTATGGAAGTTAAACATTAAAATAATGAAACTCTCAGAGATTCCAGAAAGAAAACTAAAGCTTCTCTCTTCCTTAATATTTAAGTGTTTAATTAAACAAATATCTCCCAGAGCATTGTGAAAGGTGATGAAAACACAAGTCAAGGACGAAGTCTCCTCGTCTTCCATACCTCTCACTAAAGGGGTCTGCTTTGGGGAGAGCATCCTGGGCCTCCACTGGAGAGAGCTGGGTATTCCTTGAAATGTCTTTTCAGGGCACTGAGAGCCTGACCCAGGAGAGAGAGCCTGGCACAATAAAGGCATACCCCCCACTTTTTTTTTATTTTTTAAGAGAGTCAATTTCTTCAAGTTTGCTGTCTGAAGGCTTAACACAGCAACTTTTTAGTACCTTTATAGATAAATACAGAGACTGTAATCCATGAACAAAACTAAAAAAGCAACAGAGGTATGGAGGTGGGTGCTCTCACCCTCTGGAATTAGAGAGAGGTGAACAAAACAGTATGTTCTGAAAGCAGATTTTGGTGATTTTGTGGATGACACTGTGCAATATAGGTGGTTGTCAGTGGTTAATTAAGTCTGGGATATTTTGTGACCAAACCTCACAGAAGTGCCTGGAGAGTACATGGGTAAGAACACAGGCTCAGGATCAGATAGATCTGTGAATCTGAAGTTTGTCATCTCCTGTGGCATAAACTTGGGTAAATGACTTGACCTCTCTGAGCTCAGTTTTCCCATCTATAAAATGGGGGAAATAATAGTGCCTTCCATATGGGGTTGTTGTAAGGATGAAATAATGTGCATAAAGCACTTAACATAGTGCTAAGAAGGAAATGCTTATTATTAACAAAATAAAGGTTTCCAAGGTTCTGTGGTAAAGAAACTTGCTCATTTTATTTAATGGCATGTTTGCCAAATGTATTTGCTTATAGAATATGGTTTTCTAGCCGGGCACAGTGGTGCATGCCTGTAATCCGAGCAGCTTGGGAGGCTGAAGTAGAAGGATTGTGAGTTCAAAACAACTAAGTGATACCCTCTCAATACCTGGTATAAACATATATATATTTAAATATATAGAGTTTTCCTTCTTGGGGAGAGGAAGGCCTGGGGCATATTTAATAATATGGTATTGTTTGTGGCACAGGTGAACCCTCACCCTTTCTTGATCCCCTCTAATGCTCTTGCTTTAAAAAACACAGAGGCAAATGTGGAACAAACACTGGAGGGGACTCCAGGGAAAGAGGGAGCAGTGGTAAGTGACAATCAGAACAGAAACAAGCCCTTTTCTTTCTCACCAGATCTAAATATCTCATGCTTGGTCACCTCTCTTTCTTTTTAAAAAATATTTTTAGTTATAAATAGACACAATAATCTTTTAAAATTTATTTACTTTTAATATGATGCTCAGTATCAAGCCAGTGCCCCACATGTGCTAGGCAAATGTTTTACTACTGAGCGACAGCCCCAAACCTTGGTTACCTCTTTCAAAGCAAAGAAAAACAGCACATGGCACCCCCAGAGAAGGTGCCGAAACTGAACCCCTGAAAGGGAGGAAAGGCTCGGAGGATCTTGCCAGGTGAATCTGAGTAACAGTGGAATAAACTATAAACTATATGAAAACGATGCACTTGAAAGATCTTGGTGTTTCTTTGGTATGCCTGGCAAGAGCTTCTGTCCTTTCATGGTTAGAAGACAGAAAATGAAGTTCAAAATAACAACAAACAAACAAACAAAAAATCAAATTCGATGTAAGAATCTGCATTGAGAGTCCCCAAAGGTACATTTCTGGTAGACTTTTTCATCAAATGTCACCACCCTTGGCGTTGATGTCATAGCCTGATGGGTGTGTCAAGTGGTGAGATCTGAGAACAAGTTTGTCTGCAGTGGCTGCTCCATTAGGGTGGGGATGTGCTAAGGCATTTATTTATTTAATGTAGTTCTTTAAAATCTCCTTTTAAAATCTTACATTAAAAAAAACAAGACAAAGTTCTTTCCCCACATAAAAAAAAAAAAAGAAAAAGAATGAAAACAAAAAGAAAAAAACAGGACCCTCCTTCCCCCACGTTGACCTACAAAACCTAGGACTCTCAGGAGGCATCAGACAAGAGAATCAGACATGTGACCTGTAAACCACTCTCTGAAATATGCCTTTCTAGAACTTTCCTGAATTCCTAACAATGATATTCCAGCTTTCTTTAAAAACCTCTACGCCTCCTAAATGGCAGAGTGGAGGAGGACGCTCCTATGGGCTGGGTGGGCAGAACACATCCACAGACTTGGACCACGACTGCGAGCATTCGATGGGCTGGGGCATGCCACGGGGCCACAGGACACCCAGACCAGAGCAGGAATGGCTGGAGCTCTACGGCCAACTGCCAGGCAGGGGGAGGGTGTTGCTCACACTCAAGCAGCCACGGCCATTCCCTGGCACACGGAGCACAAGCAAACCAGAAGACGTACCACTGGCGGTCCCCGTACCACTGCCCGAGCCAGGTCCGGGGGACGAGACCACAGTCCTGTAGGTGGGTGGTGGTGGGGGAGGTGGAGTTGCTCTCTGTCCCAACCCAAAATCTTTAGGAGATGAGATTGTTTCTAAGTAATCATCTTTAATGAAGGTCTGCTCAGCAACTTTCTTCTGGACTTCTTCTAAATTGAGCGGAGATGGTACATTGCGAGGAGGCCCAGGAGGCCCAGGAGGTCCTGGGGGACCCGTGGGGGCCGGGGGGCCAGGAGGGGCTGGAGCCAGGGAGTCATCTGGGTTGTCTGATGCTGCTGGTGGGGACACCACCTTTTCCCTTGGAGTCAACTCTGGAGTAACATGTTCCGGGGACGTGTCAGAGAAATGAACCCACTTTTCTTCAGTGTACACAGCAACAGACTTGGGGGACAACACTGGGCCAAAAATGCTGTCCAAGTCATTGATGGAGGGTAGTTTTTCAATTTTGGCCTCTGTGGCTGACTGTTCATTTCCTGTGGTCAAAGTAGTTGGTTTTAAACTTTAATTGACTTTCTTAATATTATTTATATGGGGGGGGGGGTGATAAGGGTGAGGCAAAGTCTGGTAGATATATTGCCCTGTGAAGTGCCTTTGTGGGAATATATCTGGCTGGGTTAGGAGCTGAAGGCGAAAGGAGAGATCCCCCCTCCATAATGTGAGCGTCATATTTTGATGCTCTTATTTATTCTTGCAAGGTGATAACAATTGGCCACTTTTACCATCACTTAAAGTGCTGAGCATGATACTGCTCTCAAGGCTGCTTATAAGAGAACCAAGGGAGCATTTCAAGAAACTCATGTTCAATTCATAAGAAACATAGGCTCTGAAAATACAAATTCCAAAAGGAGTTTGTTTCTGAAAATATGGGCTACTGCAATACAACACAGTAGACAAAGACTTGTGTGCCAAAAATCACACACATATTTTATGACTATTGTCTGCTGTAGTGTGTTTGGGGAAACTGATGATGATATCTGTTAGTTTAAAAAAAATGGATATCACATTTAGCTGTAGGTCTTCTAATACTCCAGAAACACAGCACAAAGATTAAAAAGACGTTCCCACACAAATATTTTTAAACACATGCATACACATGACACTCATGGGTTACTGAGGAAGCATTTGCTACTTATTGGCACTGTTATACATATGCCTGTTTAATAGAGAAGAAAATAATAAAAATGTAATCATTCTTTTTCGCATCAAATCTCATCTGTTAACATCACATGCTTAACTGTGGTATATATCTGCAGTTACAAAACAGAAGTCTCTTAGATGGCATCAGTAGTCTTTTTAATTCATATCAATAGTAAGAGGTAAAAGTTAAAAACTTGTCTTCTACCGCTTGGCGTGAAACGGTTGATAACAACTGCAATTTGAAGAACTCTATATTTTTTTAAACTTTCTAATTTATTCAAATTAGAAATTGTTACTTAAATAACTGGAGGGCATGACCAGAAGTTATTTTACCTTTAAATAACTCTTGGGCTCTAAGAATTGGCTTGTCATTTCCATATTTATAGTTTGAAAGGAATTAACTTTCATGGTTCCAAGGCTAAAGATAAATGGGGTAGTATTTTGCGTGGCACACAATATTTATAATTTGGCTGCTGGTAGGTTTATTTATGTCTAACATAATTTATTGGAAATACAGGAGACCCCAGTGGCTCAAACTTGAAAACACCTGTACTTATACGACTCTGAACGATCCTTTTTTGGGGGTTTAAGTCAATATAAATTTTATAAATGACATTTCTTGCTTTCTCTTTTGTTGATAAATACCCTCTCTGTACCTATCAAATTCACCAGGCTGCATAAATTGCAAAGGATGAAACTGCTATAGAATTCCAAAATGACAAAGAACCACATTCAGATCCATAAAATAACCATTACTACTTTTGATTTGACAGTCCAATAAGACTTGGTAGATTATAAATTTTATGAATATATACTATTGATTTTAATAGAAAGCAAAGATATGTCTTTGAGATGTCTGTCTAAAAAGATGCAGAAGTTTCTTGCCACATTTCATGATCTTTATACATCTCTTTGCCATAAGATGGTAAATACTTGAATGACTACTGGGGAAAAAATTCCACACCAACAATATACCACTCATCCTGAGAACCATTTTATGTCTTTGTAGACTAGACAGTTTTAGTTCTAGCAAAAGTTTTATTGGTTCTTGGAAAAATTCAAATTATGCCTTGAATTTTTAAATCACCAAAATAAGATCCAACAAGAGGAATGGTTAATTAAACAACTTTTCATATTGGTATTTTCCCCCCTTCACTTTATAAGTGAATGTGGCTCTTATTCTACCAAGAAAAAAAATTGTGAGAAGTTTCTTTTCTTTCCTCCCTTCCTTCTTTCTCTCTTTCATGTGTGAAACCTGGAAGTGGTATTTTAAAATAAGTTTGCACAATACATTGTGATGGAAATAAAACTAAATGACAACATTGTACCATTTTAATGTAGACTACAACTTCCAAAGCATCAAGGAAATGTTGAGGTCCAGGGCTGTGCCTGTTTGCCATATAATCTTAGATGAAAGGGACCTGAAGTTTACCTGGTCCAATTGTTAAGGGGGAGCCTGTTCGAGGTGGGGTGGCTGGTACATTTTTTGGAGGCAGTGGTGGAGGTGCTGTAGAGAGATGAGAAATCAAGTATTATTGATTACATTCTTCCTAAATTACACAAGACACTAGATAAGCAGGTTAGAGTTTTTTCAATGATAGACTTGATGTTGGAAATATCATCAATGATCTAAATTTTGTAAAGTTCAAAGCCAACAGATTAAAGCAGGATTATTAAAGTTCTTCAATTTTATGAGAATGAGAGTTTGCCAAAAGGATGTCAGATAGTAACAATAACATCAATGCTTTATTCATTTAAATATTATTTAATAAACTTCAATCCACAACTAAGTTCTACCTGCTATGCTAGGAACAAAATGGGTTGAATAAAAATCCTCTGCCCTCAAGGAATTGTGACTGATGATGAAAATCATGTTCACAGTTAACAATCCAGGTGTGATAATGAAAGTCAGAGGCAAAGTGACTTGGGTCAATGAAGAATGAAAAGGTTCCCTTGGTAAAAATGACAGCCAACAAAATCCTCAGATAGAAATAAGTCTAGTGTTATGGTCTCCACCAAGAGATTACTCTTCTGAACAGGGCTTTATCACTTTATGGATGAGGTTAAAAATTACTGTTTCAACAGCTACATTTTTTTTCTTCCCTTTAATGTATGTTTTCTTGTCACTGGCCATATTTGGTTCACTCAAAAGAGTTCACACTATTTTCATAAATCATCTCAAGGTTCAGATGTGAACCTGGATGTGCTCTAATCTTTCATATCCTAAAAGCAGGCTGAGTCGGGTGCACATGTAAGCTGGAGGGCTCTTTCCACAATAAGCATGACTAACAGCTGTCCTCTCAAAGCTTAGGAGCACTTGGCCCTTAATCTTCGTTATGAGCTACTGAAAACAGCACTTCTTGTGGATCATATTTTCCCAGTCAATCAGAGGTTCCTTAGTAATGGTTTCTATAAAAAGTTGATAAAGATTGTCATCAACAAAACACTATAAAACAAGTAAAATACCACAAAGCCTAATAACCTGAAGTAATAAACCTGTGTTGCAACCATGCAATGAGCAGAATTATACAATATCCATCAATAAACAACAGCCTCTGTTGTGCTAGGTGCCACCACAGTGCATAAAACTCACTGCTCTGAAATAAGTGGTGTTTGAAGCAACACATTATCCATGCAAACATTTCATTTGTTTACCTTCTTGGCATTTAGGAAGAATTTTCTAGGAATGGTTTAGGCAACTTAGGTCTGTAAAGAAAGCTTTTTGGGGTTGGGGTTATGGCTCAGTGGTAGAGCGCTCACCTCCCTGGGTTCGATCCTTAGCACCACATAGAGAAATAAATAAAATGAAATTATAAAAAAAAAAAAAGAAAGAAAGAAAGCTTTTCAAGGAAGTCAGGGCTTTCTCCTCTGTCTTTGTTTCCTAGTAGCATGGAGAAACATTCCAAAGTATGCTGCTGTAGTTTATATATATATACAACTACAACTTAAAATATACATACATATATTTTATATTATTATAAATTATATATGATATATATAAATATAATATGTTTATATATATATTTTTTAAGTTGTAGTTGGACACAATACCTTTGTTTTTGTTTATTTACTTTTGTGAGGTACTGAGGATTCAACCCAGTGCCTCACATGTGCTAGGCGGGTCCTCTATCACTGAGCCACAACCCCAGCCCTGTTTTACATTCTTCATTTACATATTTCAAAGTTCACTAATTTAAAAAGAGTTGTTGATGATGCTGTTTTCTACTCTGTTTTTGAAGAAATATTCTTGGAAAGGTTGGCTTACATGGCTTGGTAACAATAATATTCTCAACAAATAACCTTTGGCTTTTGATTATGAATCCTCTGGGCTAATTCCCATGATCATTTTTAAATACCAAAGGCAAAACCCTGGGGAAGTTGAATTGGAAGAAGTATTAGTTGGTCTGTACATGAGCCTCTAGGAGTTAAATTACCTTCTACAGCCTCAACCCACCTTTTCCTGAGATCTAATCCTCCCATGGGTATTTTAAGGAGCACCTTCCATATGCTTGCTTGCTAAAAGCAGTCTACTGAAAGGAAAGTTCAGTTAACCCATCATACAGGTGACCTGGCCAAATAAGCAATGCATTCAGTCCAAATAGTCCAGCCCATCATAGGTGAAGGGTTACAAAGATCTCTGGACCTCCTCCAGCCAACCAGCTTTGTTTGGGCTGATGGCTGCTTTGATATAAATTTGTTCTGATTTCCTGTCTCAGCTTCTCTCTAGCAATTTCTCTTGCTTTCCAACTGTCCTTCTTTGATCTCAATGTGTCCTTTTTGTCCTATGAAGCCTCACTTGTTCTGTAGGACCAGCAGAGACCATATCTCATCAGCCCAGCAGATTCTTCAGCTCATTTACTTCTGGTTCTTACATATACATATGAAATGAATGAATGAGTGGATGAACATGTGGGACATCAGAAGAGTCTATGATTCAAGGTTAATAATATTACTTCTCTGGCTTAGATAACTTGCCATGGCCTCTTTAAACCCTATAGCCTGTTAGAATAACATCTCCCCTCGATATCATACAGTTCAAGCCTTGCTTGTGTTGACTTTCTAGGAGTCACCTGATTTCATTCTGCAGACAGACAGTAAAATGAGTCACTTATTTTTCCAGACAGAGCAGACATATAACTTACTTCCGGTGGGAAAAGGCCTTGTTAACTTTGGCGATTCCAGGCTTGGATTAATTGGCTGGCCTGCACCCCATATCTCAGGCTGATCTAAAATAACTGGAAACATAAAAAGAGAATTTCCCAGGGTAAGTTAAAAAAAGAACCTCCCTGGATTTTAGAATTTAAAAATTTCAATTTAAAGTTGAACTTTACAAAATTATTTCCCCCTTGCCTTATACTGGGAAATTATTTTAGCAATGTGCTGCTCCCATTCTTTTTAAATGGAAAACAGAAATAGAAGTGTAGTGTGTAGGGGTGGGAGGGGGCGTCTGTGTGTATGTATATAGCTGAGTAAAAACTTTCAAAATGGATTCTGCATTTTCTTCCTAGTGGTCACTTAAGGACATTCCAAATATCAGCACACATACTGGCTCCAATTCGGGTATCCATTTGAAAATTTGGGCATTAATTCCATGGATATTTGTTTTCTTGTAAGTTGGTTTATTTAAATCTCTTATAAATATGCTTCAAAGCTGAAAATGCCTGTGTTCTGTGCAGTGGTTTCTATCTTTAAAGGGTCTCCAGGGTCTTTAAAAAAAACCCTTTTCAGCATCATAAAGAGACATAATTATTCTAAAACATGGTTGGTGAATATCTTAAGAGCACCAGAAAAATAAATGCTTAGACATCTGAAGTAAATCAGGGCAATTAGATTTTGGATCTAAGGACACTGAATTTAATATTTTTTTTCTCTTTCTTTTCTATTGTTCTGATCTTGTTATTATGGAAATGGTGAGAAGAGCTACCTCTTTTCAGCAAGTACTGAGGTGATTCATTACACTGTGGACTGCAGACTGGGAAGCCAGTGGGAATTGCATTTGAATCTAGCCTCTAGTCTTACTTTAGAACCCTGTGCAAAGCATTGAACCTCTATGAACTTCCCTCCTTCAGTGTGAAGTGGAGATAATAAGTTACTGATAAGATTGAAGCAAGTAATGGATACAAATGAAATGTTTGTAAAATGCACATTTATCAGAAGGGCAATTGCTGTTGTTATCTATTTTAATCCTTATAACACCACCAATGTGGTGATACTGGTGCCACTTTGGGAAGAGGAAACCAACGATTAGTGATGAAAATAACTTGTTCATAGAAAAAGTAGAGGAGCTAAGATCTGATCCAGGCATACCTAAGTCCAAAATATAGATAGCCTTCCAGGACTTTTAAACTAGTACTAGGAGAATTAATCCATTTCAGGATCATGTGGTTGATGCAAATGGTAGAACTTTATAGGACTTCAGGGGCTGCAGTCACTTGATGGACAGATAAATCAGATTGACTGACAAGTCCACGCATGGCTCTCCTCTCAATCACATACCTCAGAAATGATCTTAGCTGTTTTGTTGTGAAGCAGCATTACTTTCATGAATTCAATGTGGAATATCACTTTGATGTTTAAGAACTACTTCTATTTTTTACATAACGTTTCTATATAGTTATGGACAGATTCAGGTCAAAAAATCAAATCCCATTTCTGCACATCATACAACTATGTCATGAAAAGCAAGACTGGTTGCAGATGAGTTAATAAGACAAATAATTGCCTGACTGCAAGGCTGCCTTAATGGAGAGAATCCAAGTTATAAACATTTAATAATAACTAAAGGAGTATTTAGAGATGTTCTTTATACATTTTCCTAACTATTAAATCATTGAAAATATTCAGGTGTGGCTGATTGCTGCTAATTTCCCAGATTCATTCTCCATTTCTCTATGGTCAAAGAGTTTAGCTGTCTACATGACACCAGATTCTCTCCAGTGGGCTTTGGCTGGTAGTGATGGGTGTCTCTTCCAGATTGCTCTGACTTTTGGCAGAGTTCCATTGGCCTCTCCCCACCACTTTTCCTCTGACAGAGGCGGGTGGGGAGTTGGAGAAGCTCTCTTGGACTCAGAGATGAAGGTAACTGATGTGGACAATATAGCAACCCTACCAGTTCAATATTGCTTTCTTCCAGACTGTTCACATGAAACAAATAAAATTCTGTTATTTAAAAAAAAATTCTATTTGTTGTTTCTTTGCTACTGAATCTTAGGCATTATACTCATTATATTTAACACATAAGGGTATTTCACCATTGGGTCCTAGAAAGATACCATTTTGTTATATGTATACCATAATGTTTTTAAATGAAACAATTTTTATAAATACATGTATATCATCAAACACAGCTACTGGAGATACATGCATTGGACATAAATGCACTTCAGGAATAGATTATATCTCTCGTACAGAGGGATTATTTTATAACAGCAAGGTATATATTATTTTTAGGCCATCCAAAAAACATGGTTGATTCTAAAAAGTTAAATATTTAACACTAGGAATAAATGTGTAATAAGAAAGCTTAGCAACGATGGCATAAATGAAGGTATTTTTCTCATAGCATTTGATTTCTAAGTTGCCAAATGACTGTAAGTCTTTTTGGGGTCTTGAGCCAGGAAACAATGCCTATCATGGTCACTTCCACTGATGGGGTGGAAAGAGATTAAATGCAGCAGAGAGGCCAGTGACAATGACTGTGATGAGTCCCAGAAGGCCTGGCTCCATTCATGCTCCTGCTAACACCCCATAGGACAGCCATTTGGTCACAGAGTGTTGACTCCTCAATAAGGATTTGTGTAGATTTGCATTAATTTTTACCAACCTTATTCGAGGAATGAGCTTATTAGCTATTAGATATTTCTGGAAGTAAATGTCACATCCTAAAATAACAGAAATATGCAAACTAAACTCCTGTTCTTGAAAATAAACCAAGATTGGAACTTTTCTTTACTATGAAGATATGATGATACATTAAAAACATACCTCAAAATATACATATCTTTTTAGATAAGTTATAATTTAATGAAAAAGGAAACAAATCTACAGAGGCAGAGTGTTTTTTCTTACCTTCCGTCTTCTGTTCATCAAACGCTGATTCTAATGGTGGGCCAAAGAGGGGAGCAAGGGCCACAGTGTCATCAGGAGGCTTTTTGCTAAATCACATACATTGAGGCAAAATACAAGAGAGGGCTCAAAAATTAATGCTCAAAAAGATATACAAGCTTTCAAATATTTTCTTGATAAAAATGGGGGGGAGAAGAAACCAATGATTAGTGATGAAAATAACTTGTTCATAGTAAAAGTTATGAAAGTTCATAGAAAGTCTTATGCATATATATGTGCAAGAATGTATATACAAAGCTATTTTATGGCTAGAAAGTATTACATCAAGATGTCAAATGTATTATGGGAAAAGAGTATTAGTCAAAGATAAAATCTCTGGTTCTCAGTGGAGGGCCAGGGTACTGGTCAAGTGGAAATAAGTTGAAGGAGAAAAGGTTTTTCAAAGCATCATGATTTTCTGTGTCTAGAAGAGATAATATTTAGAGATAATAGTTTATTGCAAAGTACCCTTTGGCCCTTATATCTAAAAAACCATTTTTATGAGTCTTTACCACATCTCTGGGTTGTAACTAAGGTAGTCTATGTATGATTGGTAAAAGTTGAGCATAGGGATGTGACGTCACAAGCCACCCAAGAAATTGGGTGTTTGAACAAGAAACTGGGTTGCTCAGCTTCTAACTTCATTGTCCCCCTCCCAGTTAAGGACTCATTATGACCTCCTAATACTCTAGCACAGTTCATATCAGAGAAAAAAGAAGAGTGCTGACGCTATTTGTGGGACAGGAGGAACACAACATATACTCTCTCCTAATTTCTACTCTAGACTCTCACAGCTGCACAATCTTCTCCATTTCTACTCCACACCTTGTGAATCCTAATGAGTTCTCTGTGTGTGATGAGGGACAGGGATGGAGAGGAGAGGACAGAGGCTGGGGAGGAAAGTAAAAGTCCTAGAAGGATCAAGATGTTAAAAAAAATAGCAGCCTTTTGGGAAAGCAATGCGCATCTGTATAATATTTTACCCAAAGAATACACTGTGAAATGCAATGTTCTGCTAAAATCAAACACCAGAGGATTCTTTTGGTTTGTGGCAGATGAGCTGCATCATGAAGCTGTGTACAGCCTGAGAGACTTTCCTTCATAGAGCCGGCCATATAAACGTATTTCAGATCAACATTTCAGAAGCTAAAAGATCTTATTATATAGACCTTTAGCCTTTTCATTAGTGAAGGGACCACATTCTGATAGGGAGTTACTTTAGATAACTGCACAGTATTTCCCTAAAAAGTCTTCCTGGGGCTGCACTTATGAGAAATGGTAACATGCTACGGATGCATGAATTTGTACATGTAGGTATGCCCTTCATTAAGAGGAACCAAGAGTTTTGACCAGAAGATATTTGCCTAATTGTTAAGAGTTCGTGAGGCCTCACATAAAACACAATTCATGTCTTTCATGCTCACCTTATAAGTTCTGGAGTTGGTGTGGAACGCCGGGGCCTGGCCACTTCTTCACCTGATGCACAGGGACAAAAGACCTTTTCAGGCACGTTTTTACCCTTCCCTTCTGATGTGTCTAATGAACTATGTTTGGAAACACTTAGAGATTGAAGTCCCATCAATAAACAATTCAATAAGAAAACTCTGCAAAAGAAACCCTCTCCCCTGGCATCGCAACAGAAATATATTTGTCACATGTAGTGGCATTTTCTCTGGCATTTGTAAAACCTCATTAACCAAGGAATTACCATAAACAAGCCATGGAATAGAAGATTTGTACACTCCAGCACTCAGTGGAATAGCATACCAGTCTTTGAATGTCTGCTGCCTTGATCAGTTCTGCTTCCCAATTACCATAAAAGAATGACAAAGCAGCCATATGTACATAGTAAATGAATCCAGCATTTTCTGCCTCTTCTCTTCTTGAAATGCCAAGAAAATATTTTATCTTTTAACTATGAACCGTGAATTTATAATTCCCTAGGATGTGTTGTATGCAGCAGAGGAAAATCATGCCCTATGTATATTATAACCCATATCATATCACTTTGGTTGATTAAAATATTCATATCAAATAACATAAGAATGGGTAAGTTGAATTTACCTTTAGTTCCTTCTGGCTTCCTCTTCTCCCCACCCCGATTAGCAAATGCACACTTGATTAAACTCATTTCTAAACTTAAATAATTCAGCAATAGTCGACAAATACAGGGAGAAAATAGCAAAGTTTTTCCAAAAAAAAATTAAATTTTTGAATTTAAACATTAATTATTCAGAACCCAGAGAAGCACTCTATTATAACAAGAATTCTTTGCTGTAAATGTAAAAAAAAAATAAAAAAGGAAAAAACAAAAACAAAAAAGTAAGCTTTAAAAATCAAACCCAAGAGTTTATAAATCAAATGTATATATGCTCCAAGAGCCAAGGAACTATTCCTTCTTTCAAATTGTACTCTATTTCTGGTAGCTATGATATACTTACTGGATAAGTTCCTTTTAATTGCACCCTAGAATTAGAAATAGACACTATAAGGCTTACGACCACATATATGTTATGTACAATACGTATTATTTCTGTCATTGCAATTAAACTGAACTCAAAGAAATGCAGAAGGAAAAAATAAAAATTTTCTCAGAACCATACTTAAGTTGGAACTTGTGGACACACACATAAATCAGTTTTTCATTTTATTTGAAGATTGTAGTGTGGAAGGGAAAGTAAATCCTAAGTCTTTTGACTGAGAAAAACCCCTTACCTGGGTAGATTTGAGAAATTAAAGTCAAATAATGAATAGTCCATTAAAAACAAAACCCCTCCTAAACTCTAACTGATAAGAGGGTAAATCCAAGTTTAACATATGTTTGACATTTGAAAGTTCTAGACTGTATTTAGGAATATTGACTGCTCCTAGTCAGGTGGGATCTCCAAAGTGTTAGTAGAACCAGTCATCAGCTACTAATTCAATTAAAAAAATTGGCAAGTGTTAAAGGGGCGGGGGAAACTTAGGGGCTTCTACCACTGAATGAAGGGTTTTTAATTCAGGAAGCTAAGGAGTTCCACCTCTCCAATTTCTTCCACATGTCTGCCACTAGACCCATCAATCTACTGATTGAGTTATTTCTTTAGCTCAAGACATTATGATGCTATTGGAATGCAAATAGTTTTGGCAGAAATACTGTGGAGCAGGTCATTTCTAGCTTTTATAATGTCTTGGCATAAACTTATTCTGAAAACAGAAGAATTGAGAACAATTTTTGAATTAAAAACAGAAGCTGTGAAAGATCCTTTGTGTGGGATGCAAACCATGGGACCACTGTAGGGTTACATCATGGGGTAGGGCATGACTAGGCATGGCCTGACTTAAGAGAATACCAGGGACACAGTTGAGGGCAGGGAAAGCAAAGGGTTAGGACCATGGACCATCTTGGTGAGTTGCCACCAAACACGTTTTCCCCTATTTTCTATCTATGGTGAAAGCTGGACCTGGTGGTCACAGATCTGTTTTCTTCTTTCAGACTACAGCATTAACAACTTAGGACAAGATCCAGCACCTCTGTAATAGAACTATAAGAAGCTTCTTTTTTCTTTTTCCTAAGGACATATCAGAATTTTCTGTTCTCTTTTGAACCAATTTAGGATGGAGGAGCAGTTTCAATCTGAACAAAGATCTATTAGGTGTTTTCTGGCAAGTGGCTCAATCCAATTATTATTTTATGACTTGTTTTGACCAAAATGCAATTTGTTTTCCCTTACTACATGTGCCAGATAGTAGATTAGTGCATAATTAGCAAAAAAAAATTTAAATATGCTTATTTAATTCTGCTAAGGTCATTAGGGGAATTTGGATATGAGGGTTATTTTTATTTTTATTTTTCATTTTTTTGTAATAAGGGTCTGTAGACAAACAACTAGAGAACAAATTATTTAAATGAGGCTAAAAGTTTTTTTTTTCTGGGTTAGGGACCTTCTTGATATTGAGAATTAAATAAGGTTTTAATAGTTAAATAGGTTTAGATAGTCAAATCTAGATCAATAAGTTGGCATTGAGGGAACAGGGCCAATCCAGTTCTGTGAGAACTGATATCCAGTTGTTAGGAGATTCCAGGGGGCAGACTGAAGGTACTTTGGTCTCTCTGTCCTATTCATTTTATTAAAAATGTTAATATCCGAGAAACAATAAAGGTAGAAAGCTTCTTTTGTATTCATCAGTTATTACTGAAAGGCACTAGAGAAGCAGTCCCTATACCATTTTTATTAAATACTTCTCATGAATGAATGATCATAAGTTAAGGACAAGCCAGAGATGGAAGAAATATGCAAGAAAACCCTGATGGTTGGAAATTAGAAACAATAAGTTTGTTTGGAAAGGAACAGGTATTTGAAATACCAGCAGCAAATCAATAGCAATGGAAAAGAAAGTCCCACTGTGAGCTGGATCCAGCACACTTGTCACCATGACAAATCTCCAACAGGGTTGGGGTGTCCACACAAACCACACTTGGGACAGAAGCCCATTGACCTAAAACCTCCTCTTAATATATGAACATATTTTCCTCCTTTCAGTGATTTATCTATATGTATATTGTGAATCCATTTTCTTTATTTTTTAATTAATGAAACCCACTCTTCCCTCATCTGATACACCACCCAACTGCTGGGTTGGAATACTCACATGTATAGAGCAGTCCCTACAGATGCCTTGTTTAACCTCAGGTGTATAGTGTAAACAGAAAACCATCAGCATCACCTGGGCAGGGTACTTGCCTCAAACTAATTAGCTGAACAGACACAGGCATAGGGATATTTCATAGGGTGTTGATTTCAGTTTTATTTCCTCTTTAACGTGACTGGCTAGGTAGACAGGGTGGAGGGGAGTCATTTCAAAAACAGCAGGTTCTTGTCATTGCTCTACATTCTTCATGCTCTTTAACTTGAGGAAAATGAGATTCCACTTAGACCAATGAGAACTACCCTTGATCTACCCTACCAGAATTGTCTTCAGTGATGAAATTTAGAATGATCTGACAATCTAGGAGTATTGAGTTGAAAGTAAGTCTGACCCCAAAATGTAAATTCTAAGTATGTATTAGTGTATAGTGGTTGATGTAAGTTATAGTCCAAGCACATATTTTGAACACAGGCTTAAGAACAATGTGGCTTAAAAATGATTCTTTACTTTCTTTATAGTTTTATGATTCTTTATTATCACATTACTATCAACTTCTATGGGTCTTTCTGGCCAATCTGCAGTCCTTGGAGATGTACACACACACACACGCACACCACAATGTATACAAATACATTTTTTAAAATTTAGCATTAGGAGTTAGGATTCCAAAGTATTGATTTATTCTGTTATGGAAACATGCTCTGATAATTCTAAAACATGCCCTTGACACTTAGAAAATCAGAGGATTCCAACCAGTAAACCTAATTCATCTGCCTCATTCACACTGAGTTATCATAAATTTAATGGGAAACCAACCTGGCCACCTTGCCTTGGCAGCAATTTTCTCTATACATGTTTAAGGTAAAATGTTGAGAGTTCTTACCGGGCTGCGCCTCTGTGATCAGCAAAAAGGAATAGAGAACAGACACCTAGTCAGAGAATGATGGATCAGTCAACAGGCGTGGATAATCCAAGACTTCAACATGGCCACCACACACACACCCCAAATAATCAGGCCAGAGAAAGAAAGACAGGCAGGCTTTGTGTTTAGGGCTTGTTTAAACCATGGAAGGCTTTGCAGAACCTTACAGAGGGACTGTTGTATGATACAGCTTTGCTCATGGGGATGTTCAAGCTTTAGTTATGTGCATGGAAGAAAAAGGCAGAAACATACAAAGTCTTTACTGATGGTGTTAATGTCTTACCACAAGGAGTTTTCTCCAGATTATTTGAAGAGGAAGGTCTAAGAGAGTAGAGAGTGCAGGGAAGACTGTTTCCCTGTGTGCAACTGGGTGTTGTTTGTTAGCAAGCATCACAGATGCATTTCCCATAACTAGGGCCTAAAAAGGAGCTTCCAAACAAATTAGGAGGAATGTAGAGAGCCTTCTTCTTCCGTTTTTCTTTCTAGTGTTCTATTTAGAATGTGTGCTTCTGAGGACCTTCCATTTTTTGCTAAGTATCTGTCCTTGGCCTGGTGATGTGGGCATCCCATGAGTAGGCATGTGATGGGGAAGATGAGTAGCTCCTGATAAACACAGAAGGAACAGGGGAAACTGCTCAGCAACAGAACATGGGTGGACCCAACCGTGTCTGGAAAACACAAACAAGCAGACACATGACCTCTCTTTCCTCCAACCGTGACTGTAGCTGCCACCAATTTACCCCACAGCCTCTGATTACTGTCCCTCTTTAGGATCTTTTTTGCAGTAACATGAGTGACTAGGGTGTGGGAGGGGAGAGAGATGTGCAGAAGTTTGCGGATGTGAATATGGGCTAATCCAGGATTCACCAGATTCGCTCCTGGCCTCAGACAACTCAGGTCAAGAGCAACAAAAGAGAGGTACAGGAGGCTGCTCAACAGGAGGAGGCTGGCTACTTTTCAGAACAGACAGGACACAAAGGCCTGTAGCCTTTTTATCTGGGAGGCCTCGAGGGGGATCTAATCCACTGCTTTTATGATGCAGAGAGGAAAGGGAGGTTCCAGGACACATAGCTAGTAAATCCGCAGAACCAGAGGCAGAATTTAGATCTCAGATCTTCTGTTCTGTTCTTTTCGTGATTTTAAGTGTGACCTTGTGGGAGGATTTCTAGAGCAGAGAATCACTTAGGCTAACATCCAGGAACTGTGATTTCTCAGACTGGTTTCATAAGTGGCTAGGACTTTAAACACACTTACTTTAGTCAGTTTTCCTTGTAACAATTTAGACTTTATTATTTGCCCTATTTTCTAGGGACTGTTCCCTGTTGATCCCACTTTTCTCATAAACCTGTCTGTATGAATGCAATTTAAGCAAAATTAGAAAAAAATGTCATTTATCAATTGTGTATTTAAGTTTAAATAAGATCACTTACAGACTAACCTATATCATGTTTTGAGGAATATTCACTATTTCAGAGGAAGATTCCTTAGTGACCAAAGTTCTTTTATAAAGAAGCACATGTGGGGGCTGAGGATATAGCTCAGTTGGTAGAGTGCTTGCCTTGCATGCATCAGGCCCTGGGTTCGATTCCCAGCACCACCACCAAAAATCACATGTGGGAATTTCATGACAAACTTTCAAAATAGATGACTAAAAGTGACACAGTTCCCATAGTATAGAATTATAAGAAGTAATGTGATATAAAATGCAGATCTCAACCATAGAGAGTCAGAATCTTAACTACAAGAAAATTATCAATGTAAGATGATAAGAGAGCTTTTCAAAATAATTTTGAACATATTGATCCACTCAAATTGTTGTATCTTAATTTTTAATGAAATAAAAACCTGTATTTTAAATCAATAATTCAAACTTATAATTTTCCTAGAAAAAGATCATCTTAAGAAATAGCATTTCGGAAACTGTCATTCCAAATTCTTTCATCAGACTAGAATGTTCAAATTCACATGGTCACTGTTTGATTAACATGAATCCAAAAGTCACGTGTATAAGTCATACAACATGCAGACGCAGAAGTTCTACAATTAAGGGATAGCTGAAATCCTCAAAAGAAAAGGGTTTCCAGAAATAAAATGAAAGGACTTTACATACATTATCACCACTGAAGAGCTCTGCTGGACAAAAAGGTGAGCCAAATTATTATTAGCCATGAGGGAGGGGTCTTTGTTAAAATTTCTATTTTACCCTTTCCCCTGTCATTTCTCAAGAATTTCAAAACATTTAGCATTTTGTTTTTGTTCTACTGACATACAGAATTTGCATCAAAGATAGAAGAAAATAAATTTAGCATTTGGTCTTGATTTATTCTAAAAATTGAGGGATCTAGGTCAAGACTTAAAGACTCAAATGCCTAGAGGGGGAGGAACATATGGTACTGTGTGTCAAGGCAGGGCTGGTCATGAAGTCCTGGGGAACTGGCCACTATTCAGGTGCACCCGGTGTCTGCCATGTGCAAATGTGGGCCTAGTGCTCTTAGGTCTTATTTTTGTTTTTATTTTTGATTATTTATTTATTTACTTTTTTTTAATGGTACTAGAGATTGAATCTAGGGCCATGTGCTTATGAGACATATGCTCTACCACTGAGCTCCATCTCTCTCTCTCTCTCTTTTATTCTGAGGCAGGGTCTTACTAAATTGCCTGGGTTTTTCTCAAACTTGTGATCTTCCTGCCTCAGCTTCCCGAGTTGATGGGATCACAGGTATGTGCTACTATGCCTGGCTGCTGTTAGATCTTTACAGAGAAGATGAATATCCAAATTTTTTTTTAAAAAATTGAAATGTTCTAGTTTTCAAATGTAGGCTAAAATTGTTTTAAACTGCACAACCAAATAAAACACCTATTCAGTTGTTAAGATTCTGCAGGTGGCCAATTTGTCCCTGATTGCAGGCATTTGTATCTCACATAATCAGTTCTCATAAGTTCTGCTGTTGTTATTTCATCTCTATGCCTGATTGCTCAGAGTCTTTGCAGTTGGACTACTTGTGTTTTGAACAGATTTCCTACATTCCTAATTAAACATTAGTTGTTCAATTCTCTTGGGTTTCTGGTATATTCTGGAGAAGTTTCTGGGAATCATTTTTATGTTCCTTTGCACTTTTTTTTTTGATGATTAACTCCAGATAACCCTTTCTTTGTATTTTTAGAGTGGGTAAACAGCTAACTTATCATTTGGTCACTAGAATGAAGATCTTCCTTTAGCTAGAACATGTTTATCTCAAAATTTATATAATTTTCAAATATGAATATTCTTCCCTAAAAGAAAATATTGTTTCGACAATGTCCTTCTACCACGCCATAGGGTTGTTATTTTTTTGGACAACAAAACTTATTTAAATTCAGTTAATTAGGATACCTTAATCATTTATTTTTTCCTCTTTTGTTTTTTGTCCTGTGCTGGGATGGAACTCTGGGCTTCACACATGATAGACAAGTGCTCTAGCACTAAGCTACACTCCCAGCCCCTGAGATACCTTGGTCTTAACCAAGGTGGGCAAGTATTTTGAGAAACTTATAAGTAACTAAATATCATTTTTCTTGCTTAAAAATTCACTAAATAACCAAGCCTCAGATTTTGAAATATCTTCATTTGCTAAATTCAGTGCTTTGGGGAAACAGAGAAAAATGAGTGATAAAATATAAAGCATCAAACACTTTTATGCAGTTTGGTCACAGAAAATTAAGGGATTCATGTTACAGAATTTTCTAGAAAAGAATTAGAATGTTGGAATTAAGTTTATTATTATGATCCCAGCAAACATTACTATTTGTTTTCAAATGCACTTGGGTGGGAACAAACTATCCAGCAAGCTCCTATTGGTGCCACTATTGTCCTTGTTCGTCTGTATTTAAGCTTGTCCCCATATATTACAAGTCTGATCACAGAGAACACCTATTGTATCATGTTTTAGATGATCTGAAATTCCATGTGGGAAATGAAACAAAGAACCTGCCACTAACCAACATATCATTCAGAGGTGACGAGTCCAAGACATCAACAAGACAGATATTTCCAAAGAAAAACAAGGCAAGACCCATTCTTGAGGTCAAGACACACAGATGAGAATGAAAAGATGTACTTGCTAAAGTTGCTTTAAGGACAACAGGTGTAAAACCAATGAGGAATGGAGAATCTGTAAAGTACAGCAGGCAAATTTGAAGTGGTCAAATTTGGTTAATTCTAAGAGTGATCTAGGATCAAGAAGAATAGATGAAATTGGCAACATATACCAAAAGGTCACTGAAGGACACCAGCCATGTTTTACTGTCACATAACATGTGACAGATAGTTGACAGTTACCATAGAAGTGGGCATTCAGCTTAGTGATCACCAAAATCGTAACTATAACAATAGATGCTCGTTTTAGTTTTTGGAAAAAAAAAGATGTGGGCCCATAGTTTGATAAATTTTAATATTTCAATCCCATTTCTCAATGCTTTTTGTGCCTTCCATTTCTCCAGCCCCCTTCACAGGGACTTTCTTCAAGTGCAGCATTCTGCATGTGGTGTAGAGACTGGCATGATTGGTTCAACCGGCAGGCTAAGAGGTGACAGAATTATTGCAGTGTCCACTTAGGTGAGTTAGGTAGAATCAACCAACCACTTCTTGGTGTTTGTTAACATGAAAATACATTTTTACATTTTACAGTAGTGGTCATGGCATCTTGGGAACATGTTCCCAATAAACCAGGCAAGGAAAAGAACATAAGCCCCTCCTCCCACCCTGAGATCTTTTCGTTTTTCTAACATAAAAAGATGTAGGTACCTCATAACAAATTTGTGCTGCCATTAAAAATCAGCCACTGGCACTAAAAAGTAACATGCAGGAGATGATTTACATTTTATAAAGATCCTCTTTCTCAGTCTCTAACAATTCCAGGAGGGGATATTTTGATTTACTAAAACAGAAACAAGTTAACAAAAAACCTTCAAGACTCCCTAAAACTTCCTTTTCCCAGGCCAGCTTCAGGACCATTCAGGTTGCTACATGTGGTACATTAAACAAAAAAAATCAACTTAAAAAATGTTTGCCTAACTCACGGTATGTATGTGTAGTTTGACTAATTCAAGTGGAAGCTGCAATAAAGAAACCGTAGCACCTACAATATTTATTTGATCACATGCCTGTGACTGAAACAGAGGTGAATCTTCACAAAATTACCTATGGCCCTTAATAACAGGGTTGCAAAATCACTAAGCAACCAACTTCCTTTTTTTCCCCAGGTGGTGTAATTAGATCTTGTCCTGGTTCAAAAGGTTTGTTTTCAAATTCAAACTTGTTTAGGTATATAACACAGTCATTAGATATGCAGATGGTGACAGTGAACAGAATTAATAATGTTTGGCCAAAACATGGAAAGGACTTCTTATTTCTTACCGGACTTTTCCTCTAAAAGCGAAGGCATGGGGAGGGAAAATAAAGAGAAAATGAGAGAGGTAACATGTATCTTCTAGAAGAAATACCCAAGGCTCAGAAAGACCTCACAAGACCGCTCTGTAAAGCACTGCTTCTGTACATGCTTCCGCTGTGTCTGATATGGTCATTTCTAGGCTGCTGTTTTTAGTTCAAACTTCAGAGGGCAAAAGGTATGGCCTCCACTGGAGCACATTCTGAGTTTTCTTTTGAATAGTTTATTTTATCAAACAGATTTGTGCCCTGAAAATAGAAGTAGCTCTTGTCATATTGAAAGTGGTTAGGAAATGCCATTTATGTATTGCAGCCAGATCTGGTCATGAAACTACAAGGTGACTTTCCCAGAAACTCGAGTCCTGCTAGAAAACCTGGTACTTATCTTTTCTCAAGCAGCTCTGGCTAGAGCCATGGATTCTTCTTTGAAGCTATCTTTCATTCTCCCCACCATTCCATGGACTCTTTTTAATTTTTTTTTTTTTTGTACCAAGGATTGAACCCAGGGGCACTTAACCACTGAGCAACATTCCCAGCCCTTTCTATTTTTTATTTTGAGACAGGGTCTCATCTCCCTAAGTTGCTTAGGGCTTTGATAAGTTGCTGAGGCTGGCTTTGAACTTGTGATCCTCCTATCATAGCCTCCAGAGGCACTGGGATCACAGCCATGCCCATACCTGGCCCATGGACACTTCCTAAGAGTCAATCCTCTCATTTCCTCAGCAACTACCTTAGCAAGGCCCTCATTATTTCTTGCTGACTGTGGACTCCAGTAGTCTCCTACACATACTTCTTAGTTGACGCTGATCTTATTTCCTGTTTTATCTCCTAATCCACTCTTCACACTATCCCCAGAATCATTTTCCAGAAACAGAAGCTAATAAATTACCCCCTTCTTCAAAAACCAGAGAATACAATGGGAACCCTGTTTGGGGCTCTGAAGGTCTTCCTGTGGGCTGCAGTTTGCCATCACAGCCTCACCTTCCTCTGTGGGCTTTCTGTGAGGCCCATGTGTAGCTGTAGCTCTCCTTGACCCCTCCAGACAAAGACAGCACTCACAGGCTCCCTTGCCTTTTTTTTTTTTTTTTTGGTGGTGCTGGGGTTTGAAACCAGGGCCTTGTGCATGTGAGGCAAGCACTCTACCAATTGAGCTATATCCCCAGGCCCCTTCCTTGCCTTTTGTCCACACTGCTTCTGCCTTCCAAGCCTTGTCCTTCTCTTCTGTCAAAATCTTATTCATTCTCCAGTAACATTTCTCTCATGAGATCTTTTTCTAAGCCTCCCAGTCAGAATAAATTGTCCCCTACTCTCGCTTGATGGCAGCACATTCTTTTTCTTTAAAACAATAAATAAATATTGAAGGCCTTTCTATTTGCTTGGCATTTATTAGCCTTTGGGAAAACAAAGGTACACATTGCTACTATATTTTCCCAGTTTTTGTTTTGTTCTGTATCATTTAGATGTCTCTACACAATTATTAACTCACTGTAATGTTACAAATGAATCTTCTTTAGCCCCAAACATGGTGCTAGATACATAGTAGGTTCTCAAAACATGTTGATGAATTCACTTTTGAGGGCCATTAAAACATTATACAAATGTTTGAAGCATAGCCTTTTGATATATGGCAAGATGAATTGCTCTCTGGAATAAGGCTGAATTGTAAATGGCACAAGGCACGTGACCCCATTTGTAATGGTTCCTTCACCAGCTCCTATAAATATTTCACTTAGCTCCCACTTAATTGTTAATTTCTCTGCCCATTAGTGACCTTAGGTGCTAACATATGTTACAAAGGCTCCAAGAAAGTGACATAGCTTCACGCAGACATTAGTATGGAATTATGTGATCAGATCTCCAGGGTAGAATTTGCTTCTATAGCAAATATGCATGCTTCAGAGCAGCTGAGAACTGAGAGAGGACCATATCCTTGAGGCCACTTTCAAAGGCAGATGTTTGGTAAGTAGCACAGAGAAATGAAAATTATTAACAAGGTGCAGGCTCTCAATCTACAGAAAAAAGTAATTTGGAAGTTAAAAATCAAATAACCCTGTAAGGGGTTGTCATGGTGGAAGAAGGATGTGAGATTTTATGTATTCAAATTAGCTCAGCCCCTAATTTTCTGGATGCTTTTGGCTAAGTCACAGCGCACTTCCATTAAGCATTTTCTACAGTAGGGATAATCCTATAGTAAGATTCCCCTTGTGGGGTTGGGGTAAGGATTAAAAACATGGATGACACGGACTGTTAAAATTCCATAAGAATTTGCTGTTGTTTTACCTTGTGTGGTTGGTTGGTGTCATTATATTGTCTCTAATTTATCCATGAAGAAAAGGAGGCTCAGAGGAATTCCAAGGTCACATAATTACAAAGGAACATGGCTATGACTAGATCCCAGATTATCTAACCCCAGAGAGGCTGGTCCAGCCATGTCCCCTAAGGAGACTGAACCCACTTTCAGGGTCTTATCACCTTTGTGATCTAAAAACAATAGAGCTAATACTCAGAGATCATAAAGAATGGAAAATACACTTTATCCTTCCAATGAAGGAATTAAACAGATCATATCAATTTATAGTAGCAGGTCTCAGAGAACAAGCTACTCGGAGGGTGAACTTGTGTTTAGAGACAGGCTTTCAGTCTTTGGGATTAAACTCTGATGATAGAATATAATTTTCAATCTTTTTTGTCTAACTAAATACACCTCATTTAATTAATATCCAAAGAATAAACATGAGCACATAAATGATAAGGACCCCTACCCTTCTCCCTGTATCTTTCAATCCCACAATGCATGATGTCTGAAACCATCTTTATTCAACATGTTGTTTTGTTTTATTAGCAGCTACCTACACTTATAGTCAATGGCCTCTTAATTTAAGGGTTTCTTCAGAATGTAAAAAAAAAAAAAGAAAAAGGAAAAGAAAAAAGAAAACAAAGCATGACAATTCTCTTTATGGGAAAACAAAAATATTTCTTGATTTAAAATGAGCTAACATGAAAAAAACCACAAAATTCTGAATTTGACTTATTTTGCTCAAAATTATGATCTCCAGTTTCATCTAGTTTCCTGCAGGTAACATAATTTCATTCTTCTTTATGGCTGAATAAAGCTCCATTGAATATATGTCATATTTTCTTTATCCATGCATTTGTTGAAGGACACCTAGGCTTATTCTATTATGGGGCTATCGTGAATTGTGCTGTGATAAACAAGAGTATGCGTGCATTTCTAAAGTATGCTGACCTTAATTCTTTTAGATAAATACTATAGAGTGCAATAGTTGGATCATGTGGCAGTTCTATTTTTGGATTTTTGAGGAACCTTTATACTAATTTCCATGAAAATAGAAGGGACACCATTAGGGTAGAGGTAGGGAAACAGGGGGAGGGAAAAGAGAAGCAAGGGGAGGTATTTGGGAGTGAAATTGGTTATACTTTTATGTATATATAAGTATGCCACGATGAAACTCACTATTTTGTATATTTAATATGCACCAATTAAAAATAAAAAAATAAAGTACTCTAACAGCATTAGAGTTTATTTTTAATTATGGAAAAAATAAGAGAATTGAAGAAATGTTTATTCCAGGTTCACTTTTAAATAGAGATAGAATAAGTAAATTTTTAGATTGGACAATGCATTTACCTAAAACATGACCACTGCATGATCTCTAAGAACAGGGATTTTCTCATGTGATGCCCTAAGAAAACACAGTTACCACCTGGTGCAGTGGCATATGCCCAATTTCCATCGATTCAGTAGGTTGAGACAGGAGGATCTCAAGTTCAAGGCCGGCTTTAACAACTTGTGAGGCCTTAGGCAACTAGTGAGATCCTGTTTCAAAATAAAAAATAAAAAGGGCTGGGGATGTGGCTCAGTGATAAAACACTCCTTGGTTCAATTCCCAGTACCAAACAAACAAACAAATAAAAACCACAATTACCAACTTACAAGTCCTGCTGAAGGGCATCTCCTTCTTTGATCAAGAATTTTCCAAAGAACCCACAGACTCCTGCCCTTCACAGAGCCAGAATTTCTTTCTGACTGTTACTGCTCCAGGAAACTTGGTAAGTCAAGCATTTCTACAAATTAGGTTTTGTCAAAGCCTATGTTTTTGCACGAGGGGCTAGAAATCAGCAACATTTGAAACTGAATTCTGTTTAAAACCAGAGCCAAAGCTAACAGTAGAATATTAAGGAAATATACACCAGAATTTTGATGACCCTTACATGAGGTTTTGTGCTCTGAGTACATTCCTGACATTTAACAGCTTAATAAGACCTGAGCTGCCCATGAGGGTTTTTGGCATCAAGCATCATAGAGTAGAATTGAGACATAAAAAGTCAAGTTCAATCTGTAAGCCCTTTTAAGAGAATGGCTGTATTCTGAATTTTTATTATAACTAATGAGATTCTATCATAAAATAATCACTTCCTATGAGTTATTTATGGCTAGTTAGGTGTTCACAGAGAGCAAATGTATTATTTATTCATTTGTTAAGCCATTAACAGTTATTTATTGAGCACATAATCAATATGAGACACTGTTCTAGGCTCAGTGGTGAAAAACAAAAACAACAAAAAGGCTCCATATTGAGATTACTTTTTGGACTAAGAGGACACAGATCACAAGTAAATAATAAATGGAATAAATAAGCAAAGTATTTATTTTAAATAAAGATTTTTTTTTTTTCATACCAGGGATTGAAGCCAGGGGTGCTTAACCACTGAGCCACATACCCTTTTTATATTTTATTTTTGAGATGGGTTCTCACTAAGTTGTTTAGGGCCTCACTAAGTTGCTGAGACTGGCTTTGAACTTGTGATCCCCCTGCCTCAGCTTCCTGAGTCACTGGGATTACAGGAGTGCCAGGTGATACATGCAATTTTTACAAGCACCATGCCAGGTGATACATGCAATTTTTACAAGCAAAGCAAATAAAGGAGTTTGGAAATGCCAGGGCAAAGGTTCTTGTGAT